CCAGGGGCGGCTGCTGCAGGGGCGGCTGCTCCAGGGGCCAGGGGCGGCTGCTCCAGTGGCCAGGGGCGGCTGCTGCAGGGGCGGCTGTTCCAAGGGCCAGGGGCGGCTGTTGCAGGCGCGGCTGTTCCAGGGGCCAGGGGCGGCTGCTGCAGGGGCGGCTGCTCCAGAGGTCAGGGGTGGCTGCTGCAGGGGTGGCTGCTCCAGAGGGTAGGGGCGGCTGTTCCAGGAGCCAAGAAGGGGCCGCGAAGGGCCGGAAGGAGGCCGCGAAGGGGGGGGGGGGGGCAAAGGGGGCCGCGAAGGACCGGGAAAGGGCGGCGAGGGGCCGTGAGAGGGCCGCGTGAGGCCGCGAAGGGGCCATGGAGGGGGCCGCGCAGGGCCGCCAAGGCCAGATCAGGCTGCGCGCGGGCGGCGACGACGGCGCGAGCGGCTAGCGGGCCGCGCGCTGAGGAAAAACGGGCTGCGCGCGGGCGGCTTACGCGACGCGCGGGCCGGCGGCAGGCTGCGCGGGCGGCTGACGTGGCGCGCGGGGCCGAAAACGGGCCTAAACGGGCCTAAACGAAGAGCGCGCGGGCTGCTCAAGCGGCGCGCGCGGGAAAAAAAAAAGGGCCGGCAGCAGGCAAGGCAGGTGAGGTAACGCGGTAACGGTCGGCCCTTATCTTAGGTCCTAGAGACCTCTAGGCTCTAGATACCATCTTAAATTCTTAGGCATGAAGTGGTGTGTTTAGGTCAAAGGTTAGGGTACAAGACTAGAGTGTCGAGAATGTTTCTGTACCCTCTAAGGCTAGCCCCAATATAGCCTAGATACTAATATGTTTTGACATTCACTAGCATGCAGTTGAGTACATATAGCAAACCCTAATTCGGGTTGTACTCGCTATAGAGTACCCCACTGCAGGCTACACAAACATCACATTCTGACACACCCCCATAGTCAAAGTGGGGTACAATCAACACAACAAGCAGGCAGAGCAGTAGGTTCACAAATACAAGCGAAGCCAGAGGCTATTACACAGGGCAAGTGAGGAGGAAAAACTGCGGGGGCGAGAAGATGGGAGGCGACGGCTGAAGCTGCAGACACACGGGCAACAGGAGTGCGCAGCACTGTCGCTACCAGGCTAAACCCGGACTACACGGCGACAGGCGCAGCTGGCTCGCTGTGCTCCCAGGAGTGCTCACACTGTGGCTACCAGGCGCAGAGCCCCGGACTACACAGACACAGGGGGTCGTGGCTCTCTGGACTTCAGGCGCTGCGGACGACAAGACGACTGCCTCCACTCAACTTCCCCCAGCTGTCCCACACCCCTTTCACACACCCCCTGCTGCACCTCTAGCACTGCTCACACGCCACCCCCCTCGTACCACTCCGACGGCTCCAACACATCCACCCCCCTCAGCGGCAGCTGCAGCAGTGGGAGACGAAGGAGGAGGAGGAGGAGCAGGGGGCGGCTCATACACCCGGCACCCCCATACTCTCCACCCCCAAACCCTAACACAGGAGCGCGGGCAGCAGCGGGGGTGGGGCGCGGTCAGAAGCTCGGGGGACGGCGTGCGGCACTGGGGCAGACTGTACGGGCCGCGCACGGGCCTGGCGCAGGCCGGACGAACCGCGCGCGGACTGCGCGGGCCTGGGCAGCCCGTACGAACCGCGCGCGGGCCTGGCGCAGCCCGTACGGGCCGCGCGCGGGCTGTACGGGCCGCGTCGGGCGACGGGGGGCGACGCGCGGGTCCCCGGGGGCTCCACGACGGGCGACGGGGGGCGACGCGCGGGTCGACGGGGCAAGAAACCGCCGCGCGCGCCGCACGCCCTGAGCGCGCGGCAGGCAGGAAACATCGCGCGCCCGGGGCGTGCGATAGGCAGGACAGCAGCGGAAGCATTGGATGGAACCACCCACACGATCGACCCAGTAGGGTCGACCTGCTCTGCTAGCATGTCGAAATAGCTAGGCAAAAGTTAGAAACAGGAAAGAGGGTTTTCACTAACATGCAGTTGAGAACATATAGCAAACCCTAATTCGGGTTGTACTCGCTATAGAGTACCCCACTGCAGGCTACACAAACATCACATTCTGACACCTTGTTCCCTGCACCTTGTTCCCTGCACCTTGTTCGCTGCACCTTGTTCCCTGCACCTTGTTCCCTGCACCTTGTTCCCTGCACCTTGTTCCCTGCACCTTGTTCCCTGCACCTTGTTCCCTGCACCTTGTTCTCTGCACCTTGTTCCTTGCACCTTGTTCCCTGCACCTTGTTCCCTGCACCTTGTTCCCTGCACCTTATTCCCTGCACCTTGTTCCCTGCACCTTGTTCCCTGCACCTTGTTCTCTGCACCTTGTTCCTTGCACCTTGTTCCCTGCACCTTGTTCCCTGCACCTTGTTCCCTGCACCTTGTTCCCCGCACCTTGTTCCCTGCACCTTGTTCCCTGCACCTTGCTCCCTGCACCTTGCTCCCTGCACCTTGCTCCCTTCACCTTGCTCCCTGCACCTTGTTCCCTGCAACTTGTTCCCTGCACCTTGTTCCCTGCACCTTGTTCCCTCTGCGGCCCCTTCTGTGTGGCCGCCATGTATGGGAGCCTCTATTTCCTCCTCCTCAATGACCGCAAGACTCGCTTTGTGTGGGTCCGTCCGATCGTGAAAAAAAGCGACGTGCTCGGCATATTTGAGAAGTGGCTGAAGGATGTGGAGCGACCTCAAAGTCGGTGAAAAGGTTGTGCTCAGAGTGCAGGAGCGAATTCATTGGCTAGAATATTCCTTTGAAAATTTCGGTGAGCCATCGTCGTCACTTGCCGTGTAAGGACGATAATCTTCGTGCAACTGTTGACGCAGATCCGCTGACGCCAGCTGCCGCACATGATGACGACTTAGAGGCTGCTCGAGCAGGTGCCGACGCAAGCGCACTGACGCCAGCTGCCACACGAATGAACCTCCGAAATCATCGGGAAAACGCAGCGGAAACTATTCACATAAACGTTTGAGATAGCTACTGCTGCCCGTTGCTCGGGGGAAGGGAGGTGACGGTCGATCGCGACCGTCGAAGGCAAAGATCCGGCGGTGCCGAATAGTGCACAATAAATCCATGGGTGCGAAGAGCAACTACCGTCATCGCCCGGATATAAGACATATATGTCTTATCTCGTACACGGGCAAAAATGCTTGAGTTATCTTGTAAACGGGATGGTTTAGGGTGTCTTATAAGTCTTATAAATGGAAACTTTTTAAACTACTTAGAAATATTTTCCGTACTTCTTGAAAAAGAGTTCCTCATAATGAGTGTGGATGTTGCGAAGGTGCCACTTCGGCAACCACTGCCCGGGACGCCACGTCATGGAGAACACCTGCAGAGGCAAATTTGGTAGGTCCTGGGTCAGCGCGTGGAAGAATTCGCGCTTCGCAAGGGTAAAAAAGTACGAGGTATTTCAACTTTCACTATAATGTATTGAAGTTTCGATTATAAGACATATATGTCTTATCTCGTACACACAAATAGGTGTCTTATAATGAGGCTAGCCTGTTTATAAGAGACACCCGTATAGTAGACAACCCCTGTCTACTATTCAACACTGTCTTATATCCGGGCGATGACGGTAAGCCGTTCTCTATGACGGCCGTCGTGCAGCTCTTGGACCCGTTCTCTTCCTCGTCCCCCCCCCCCCTCGAGGGGTATTACATTAAAAGAAGCGAGGTAGGCTAGGAAAGTAGCTCTGATACCAGGTGTTATGAATGAACTTGCAGAGTGCGCAGAATAACGAATATCGAGAATGTTGAACTACAAAATGACGATACAAAGAAAGTGTCGAGACGAAATAGGGGAAACGCTAGCTAGGCGGGGAGGTCGGTTAAGGATGGCTCGGTGATTTCGCGAGTGGAGCGGGGCCGACTCGGGGGTGGTTTGGGGCGACAAAACAGGCCAAACGTGATGGTACCGTAGCCCACTGTATGTACCGTACTAGATGAAGTTCGGGTACAGGAAGGAATTACAATTCCTTACGCTCACAACCTTCATCTATCGCTGTTCACCCGCATACGCGATAGTGCCCAAGACCTGGAAGGAAGCCCAGCCTATTCCCAACCAACCTCAAGCTTTGGCAGAGCTAATTCTGATTGGACCAGAGACAGCTAGGGACGGTTACTTCGACAGGCTCGGTGATCGACCTTGCAGGGTTACCGCATCCTGATCGTCTCGACATCCGCTGCATCGCACAGCACACAGGTGAAAAACTGGGAACTGGATTGCACCGCTTCTATAGGCGAAACGAAAGCAGAGGCGGCGGGGTGTTGGGGGGAGGTGGGGTGGGGAAGGGGGGAGGGTGTCACAACAGTACAATGGTAAAACCCAACTCACAAACTGTACCTCGGGATGTGTTCTGGTGCGTTACGTTCGAAAGCGGTAAAGAACCAAAACCAGGGTTTGCCGTGTAAAGACCCGTTGCGCCTCGACAACTTCATCTTCCTCGTTTGTTTTGCTTCCGTTCCTGCCCACCCTACTTTCTTTCATGACTTGGCTTTGTCAAATGACTCACTCGAGCGAGCTTTATGAACGCGTCACACTGCATTATAGTAATTGCAAATTAGCCAATTGTAGCTCGCCGCTTTTCTCTCTAGAGCTGGTAGTATGGTGTTGAGGCCAATAACAGGCCGGAGTTCATAACTTGACAGGAGTAAAGCAAGAATGACGAATTCTGATTCGATGCCAATGCTATCCCAACGGATGCGCTCGCCCGACTTATTGATGGCGATAACACCTGATGCGCCTCGATCCACCTCCGCGTTTGACTTTGGATCATCGTTCGGCTCAGATACCTTCGCGGAATTTCCTGTGATCCTGTCCGTCAACCTCCACCCTCAACCGTAACGATGGGTCTATCTAGCCCTTCCATCCCCGAGCCTTAAAGTGACTATAAATGAAGGTGATTTCAGCTCATAGAAACCCAACCACTTCTGCATTCATTGACCTTTCTGCTAGCAGCAGTAACTTGCTCTTTCTTTGATTAACTTCTCTTTCACTCATGGCCCTCATTCGTGCTCGCTGCGTCGTGCTATTTGGTAAGCGTTACTCATGACGTAAATCCTCTTCCTAACCTAGTTACGTAAATCATCTTCCTCACCATGGTCTGCACGGCTCGCCGTATTATTAAGCAGGCGTTATCTCCAGAATCTGCACTAAAGAACGATACCAGTATCTTCAAGACTCATTGCTGCTCAGCTGGTTGCTGCCGAGCATGGTAACCCTTGGTCTGAATCTCGCTTCCCTCGTTGCGTGTGTTCGCCGTGCAGCGTTCGTCGCGACGCTGGTGCCGATGGCCTTCGCCGCCTCGAGTTTAACATTCGGTGCCAAGCTGATCGGGGCCAACGAGGTCCCCATGAATGGATTCCTGACCGTCGCCGCCGGTGACACAATCGGCACGGGAGACATGCAGCTGAATATCTACACGTGAGTCTGTCAGGACCTGTATCCCAGAGTACATACATTGGCGATCCATTGAGTGCTTCATCTTTTTTTTTTTTTTTTTTTTTTTTTTGTATGTATGTATGTATGTATACACATGCCGCATGGGTTTCCTTTTCTTGTGCAATCCTTGCGCCTCTCGTGCGAGGTAAACAGTTTCATTCAAACGCCCTTCATCTGCCGTGTCAATACTGATCAGGACCAACGGCGTGCCCACAGAGGTGGGCTACAACGTGCGGCTTTCCAAGCTCCAAGGCATGATGCCCCCGATTATGACTCACGTTCATCGCGGCAGCAAGGGAACAAACGGTCCCCTGGTGCTTAACCTGCCGTGCGTGTACTGGCAAATCTCCACAACGGACTGGTCCTGCATGGGCAAATTAGTGGTCACTGAAGCGGTGCTGCCTGCCGTTAAGGGGATTTTGGCGAACCCAAATGAGTTTCATGGGAATATTCACACTGTGAAGTATGTTAACGGGGCCGTGCGTGGGCAGCTTGAGAGGAGGTAGTGGATTCATTGTGCTGTGAGGGCTGTTTTTGGAACCAGGGAAGGACTTGGAGCAGCAGAGGGGTTCTTCCAAGGGTTCTCAAGATTTAGGAATATCAAGAGGAGATGGGTGTATCTTAAGAGCAAAGCGCCTAGATTAGGGAGGGATCTGAGTTGGGGGGGTTGATCTAAGCCAACCAGATCAGCACGTGGGCACATGTTTGATGGGTGAAAGTTGGCCTAAGCCGACCAGTGAGTGGCAAAGAACCTTGAAGAAGTTCTGCAGGGAATTAGTGAGATATCATAAGATACGGTAAGAGTTTTGTGTTCCTTTGTATTGTAATGAAATGACAAGTGGGTGGGATGCCTTGTCTTCAGTTGTGCAATAGTCGAAACAAAGATGACAGAAGGTGTACAGTACCGGTACCGCATGCTGAACTCCATATCTCTCTTTCTGTGCCTGTCCACCATGTGTGACTCTCCCCCCCGCCTACCAACCAAGCTTATCTTGTGCCACTCAGTGCACACCACTAAGTAGTTTGGTGATGAAGCTTCACATTTCCTGTTCCCTCTTCCCTGTTCCCTGTGCCTGCCCATTTCACTCTTCTGGCCTGCCTTGATACCTCCATTCCAATCCACTCCTAAGGTCCTACTCCTGCTCCCCCTGTGCCACACACAGGTCACATCGGCACACAAAGCCGTAGTCTGCCAGAGCTTCCTTCCGTTCTTCTAGTGAAAGGGATTCCTCCACATAGGCAATGAACACCTGTGGGTGATTTGGAAGAGGGGGTGAGGGGAGGGAAGGAGAAAATCTCACAATTTCACGGGAGGAAGAATTGGCTAGGTTAATAGGCAGAGAGTACAGAGTGGTCAGGAATATTATTGTTTCAAGGAGCAAAACACCCTGCCCGAATTGGGTTACCAATGGATGGCATCCCAACAACATGCGGTAAAATACATGGAGAATGGGAAAGGCCCACACAGACGAACCTGCTCTCCTTTCTTAATGTCTCGGCTTGCCAGCAGCACAGCCCGACCATCCACGTCCTGCCACGTGTCACAGCAAGAGGCCAGAGTTAGTGCTTGTCGCCGCACGTGATATAGTTGTCGAGAGAATTAGGCAAAAGAGAGAGGACTGAACTAGCAAGAATGGGGATACAAATAGCAAACCCTAGAAGGGTTGTACTCGCTACAGAGCACCCCACTACAGGCTAGAGCATAATATTCTGACACACCCCCATAGCCAAAGTGGGGTGTAATCAGCAGAGGAAACAAAGCAGTACAAGCTCAGGGTGGATCACGATGTCACCACACATTCTGAGCACAAGCAAGAAGCAATAGTTTAAGGTTCACAATTATGAGCAAAGCTAGAGGCAGTCACGGGGGGCAAGTGAGGAGGAGGAGGGCTGGCGAGAGGAGAGTAGATAGGAGGCGACGACTGAAGCTGCAGACACACGGGCAACAGACGGCTCTGGTGCGACAACGTGGCTACCGGGAATGAGTGCCCCGGAGTACAGGAGTAACAGGCTCCGCGGCTAATATGCGCGGCAGGAGCAACGGACCCACAGGCGACGGCGCAACCGGCTCTCTGAGCTACCGGTGGCTAATCGACCCCCGGAATACAGGCGCTGCGGACTACACGACGGCGGCCTCCGCTCAACCTCCTCCAACTGTCCCACACCCCTCGACACACACCCCCTGCTTCAAACCCTAGCTCCACTCCGACGGTACCCCCCTTTAAACCCTAACCCTCGGCTCCCACACATCCACCCCCCTCAGCGGCAGCTGCAGCAGTGGGAGACGGAGGAGGAGGAGCAGGGCACGGCGCACACACACGGCACCCCCATAGCTGCCACCCCCACACTCCTCACCCCCAAACCCTAAAACGGGCGGAACGGGGGAAGGAGCACGGGGGACGGCGAGGGGGACGGCGCGCGGCCCCCAGGACGCCACCACGGGGCAGCGAGGGGCCGCGCGCGGCTCCCCAGGGCGGCGCGACGGGAAATCGGGGGGCCGCGAGCGACGGGATCGGGGGGGGGCGGGGCCGCGGGCGACGGGATCGGGGGGACGCGGGCATCCCCCACGGGAGGAAACCGCCGCGCGCCCCGAGCGCGCGGCGGGATGAAAAATCCGTAAAAAAAAATTCGGCAGGAAGGAGGCGTCGCGCGACCAGTAGAACAGCAGCGGAAGCATTTGGTGGTGGGCCCACCCACAGGATCGACCCAACAGGATCGTCCTGCTCTGATAGCATGTCGAGAGAATTAGGCAAAAGAGAGAGGACTGAACTAGCAAGAATGGGGATACAAATAGCAAACCCTAGAAGGGTTGTACTCGCTACAGAGCACCCCACTACAGGCTAGAGCATAATATTCTGACAATAGTTAGTGATTGTCAAGCTTTTGGGACGTCTCAAGAGTTAGTGCTTGTCGTCACACATGATATTGTTAGTGCTTGCCAAAGCTAAGGGAGCCAGAGCCCTATCCTTGAGTAGTGCACACAATAAACAGGGCCAGCAGTGGTCAAGTATTGCACATCGAACTTCAGGAAGCATAAGATCTATCGGCTAATAGCATGGCTATGCATGGGCATGCATGGGTACGCATGGGCCTGCACGGGTACGCATGGGCATGCATGGTTACGCATGGGCATGCATGAGCATGCTTGGGTATGCATGGGTATGCTTGGGTATGCATGGGTATGCATGGGTATGCATGGCTATGCATGGGTATGCATGGCTATGCATGAGCGGTCAACATGGGGGACGTGACTAAGCCTGCCGCAAGAAATACAAGGTTACAGCAGTCAGAGTTACTAGGAGTCCAACAGGCTGTGCAGAACGAGAGGATTGCGGATTTTTTTAGAGATTTTTATGTACCAACCAGACCAGATAACCCATTGTGTAGAACAAGAAAAATCGCACAACGCCCAAGAATTTTACCTATCAACTGGACCGGACTATACACGTTGTTCAGAATGAGAAGGTTGCACCATTGCTCCTGTGAGTGGGTTTTTCACTCATCGCATTTTTTATGGGTAATATCTGAAGGTCTCTTGAACCACTGGAATCAAAAAGTTGACTCAAGGTGACTCAGAAGTCACCTCTTTGGAATCTACAGCAGAAGGTCTGCTGAATGATCTTGCTGAAAGGTGACTTATAAGTCAACACAAAAGTTGACACGAAAGTGGACACAAAAGTTGACACAAAAGTTGATTGACTCAGAAGCCGACACAAAGGTCGACTCAAGAATCGGCTCAAGTCGACAAAACGAAAGTCGCCTTTTGAGAACTACGGCAGAAATTAGAAGGCCTGCTCAACCACCTTACACAAACCCTCACCTCGTCTCGCTTGAAAGCATGCGCATTCAGGCAGCATGAATGGTTGATGCTGGTGGCAGGCATGTGTTTTTCAACCTCACATGAACAACAAGCACTCTTCACATCTGGCTCACCTCGTCTCGCTTGAAAGCATGCGCATTCGGGCAGCACGAGTGGTTGATGCTGCTCTGAAGAGAGTAGAAGGCTGTGCCTGGCAAGCGGAGAAGGGAGAAGGAAGAATGAAATATGGACAAGTGGAGAACAACGCTGTGATGAGCACGAGTGGGTGATGCTGCTCTGAAGAGAATAGAAGGCCGTGCCTGGCAGGCAGAGAGGGAAGAAGAATGCGATGTGACTTTTGAGTCGACTCAAAAGTCACCTGGATGACAGGCAGAGAGGGAAGAAGAATGCGATGTGACTTTTGAGTCGACTCAAAAGTCACCTGGATGACAGGCAGAGAGGGAAGAAGGATGCGATGTGACTTTTGAGTCGACTCAAAAGTCACCTGGATGACAGGCAGAGAGGGAAGAAGAATGCAATGTGACTTTTGAGTCGACTCAAAAGTCACCTGGATGACAGGCAGAGAGGGAAGAAGAATGCGATGTGACTTTTGAGTCGACTCAAAAGTCACCCGGCAGGCAGAGAGGGAAGAAGAATGCGATGTGACTTTTGAGTCGACTCAAAAGTCACCTGGATGACAGGCAGAGAGGGAAGAAGAATGCAATGTGACTTTTGAGTCGACTCAAAAGTCACCTGGATGACAGGCAGAGAGGGAAGAAGAATGCGATGTGACTTTTGAGTCGACTCAGAAGTCACCTGGCAGGCAGAGAGGGAAGAAGAATGCGATGTGACTTTTGAGTCGACTCAAAAGTCACCTGGATGACAGGCAGAGAGGGAAGAAGAATGCGATGTGGATAAGTGGATATCAGTGCTGTGACGAGCATGAGTGGATGATGCTTTTTGGAAAAGTGTAGACGGCTGTGCCTAGAGTAGCGGACTGAGCAGTGGCGATAGAAGAGACAGAGAAGTTGTTCGAGTAGAATCAGAAGACTGAGATTTGAAATATCTCGGAAAACAAATCAGGGACGAAGGTTTATGTTTGCTGCAGTTACAATGGCAACACACACAGTAATACACCCACTAGCAGCATCATACCTTGACCATGCGTATGCAGTAAATTACCATTATCTTCGATCGGAAAATCACTAGCGGAAATTTCAAACATTGACAGTGCCACAGAGTCACCTTTGAAAATTCTCAGCCACTTTTAAAAATCACAGAGAGCAGATCACCATTCCCGTCAACTCAACACAACCACTCAATCAGGATTTTCTCCTGAGAAAAGCCGTGAGAAGCCACGTGAAAGAAGTGTGTTTTCGAGATGTCTCAGAATCACTATTACCGTCAACTCAACCACTCAATCAGAAATCTATCCCGAGAAAAGCCGCGAAGATTAAACGACTTCTCAGGCGCCTCATAAGCCTCGAGGGTTCATGGCACTGCAGCAAAGCGCAGGTATCTTATAAGTCGGCCCAGAAGGCAGCAGCAGGAACTTCGTACCTTCACAGTGCCATTGCAGCAAGGGGTCATCATCACCATCCCCCTCCCCCTCCTCTTCATCCCCATCATCATTTCCATCGTCATTTCCACCCTTCCCTGCAGCCTCCTTCTCCCCCGCATCACCCTCATCCTCATCATCCCCCCCTCCTCCATCCTTTTCTCCAACACTCACTCCCTCCCCGTGTACTCCCTTCCCCACACTGTCATCCCCTTTACCACCTCCGCCTTGCTCTAGAAGCTCCCTTATTGGGCCCACCACTGCTTCTGTCTGTGCCTGTGCGGACGTTGACAGACATGTACGGACAGGCGAGAGAGTCAAAGAACGAAATGCCTCATGGTTGGTACCTGAGTAAATCACCCCTCTCTTAGTGGCTTTTGAGTCGACTCAAAAGAACGAAATGCCTCGTGGTTGGTACCTGAGTAAATCACCGCTCTCTCAGTGGGCTCACCACTGCATCTGCATCTACCAGTGTGCATAATGACCCACACATGCACGGACAGGCAAGAGTCAAGAACGAAATGCCTCACCGTAACGAAATGCTTCACAGTAACGAAATGCCTCACGAAATGCCTCACCACTGCATCTGCATCTACCAGTGTGAATAATGACCCACACATGCACGGACAGGCAAGAGTCAAGAACGAAATGCCTCACCGTAACGAAATGCCTCACAGTAACGAAATGCCTCACGAAATGCCTCACCACTGCATCTGCATCTACCAGTGTGCATAATGACCCACACATGCACGGACAGGCAAGGGACAAAGAATGGCATGCCTCAACCCAAGCTCTGAAGAGCAAAGGACTATTGCTCTGCCTCGCTCACCTGTTTTGAGACGTCTCAAAACAACTTCTTCATACACTCTGCCTCGCTCACCTGCTTTGAGACGTCTCAAAACAACTTCTTCATACACTCTGCCTCGCTCACCTGCTCTGCCTCGCTCACCTGCTCTGCCTCGCTCATGTCTTGAATTTGATTGAAGTAGGTTGTTACTGGGGAAGGCACTACCAGATCCCTGAAGGAAAGGCCGCAGGATAGTAGGTGGCAGTGTTGTATTGAAGTAGGTTCATCCAGGGGAAGGTACCCCCAGGTTGGTACTTGAAAGCCACTGTGCCTAGTGTGAGAGCGAAGACGTAATGAGACGTTTCAAAACATCTCTTTTATCACCAGGTTGGTACTTGAAAGCCACTGTGCCTAGTGTGAGAGCGAAGACGATGATTGAAAAGGAAGCTAGTGTGCTGTGGTGAAGTGGGTTATTGCTGATAGCTGGGAGCAATGAAGTAAAGGGGAAGGAGGAACCCTAATGATGGACTGAAAGAGACAGCAATGGTGAGATCCGATATGCTCAAATGTAGCTGATTTGAATCTGAGGCATAGCCGGAGAGTGTACACCGCTGATTCGAGGTGCTCACAGGTTGTTGAGTTCGAACATGCCAATGATAGACCTGTAGAGTGAGAGCGAGAGCACTGGTGGGATTTGCTGTCTGTAGAGCTGTGATGCACATGAAATGTGGTACCTGTGGATATCAAATGTAGCTGATTTGAGGTGCTTACAGGTTGTTGAGTTCGAACATGCCAATGATAGACCCGTAGAGTGATAGGGACAGCACTGGTGGGAGGAGAAGGGAAGGGAACACGGAGAAGGTGAGCATTTCACTTGTAAATGCGATCAAAGCACACCACGCGTGGGTGGCTTTACCGCAATGCAACCCAGTGAAAGGCGACTTGGTTACATACTGTGGCACTGCACGTGCTTTTCAAGGCCACACGGGGCAACACAGTACATGACGACATGGTTACACATGTGGTAACACAGTACACGATCTCACGACATGGTTACACATGTGGTAACTGCAAAGGCATGGTTACGATCTCACGACATGGTTACACAGTACATGACGACATGGTTACACATGTGGTAACTACAAAGGCAGTTGTGGGCCTATGGCTTGCGTGAGCAGGTTGAGAGACTGAGAGTGAGAGTGAGAGTGAGAGTGAGAGTGAGAGTGAGAACAGGGAACTGGCTACACAGTACAGGACGGGCCCATGGTTACACTTACACGGCTGTAGCAAAGGCGGTTGTGGGCCTATGGCTTGCGTGAGCAGCCTAAGGGACTGAGAGAATAAGAAAAGCAGAAGTGGGGAAACCGGAAAGAGAGGAAGAAGTTCAGAGGGGAGAAGAAGGAAGTACTAAGAAGAAAAGAGGCATGGGGACGAAGGAATAACATGGGAAGAAGGAGGAACAAGGGAAGAGTCATGCATAGCACTGCAGGTACTAACCATGTGAAGCAGAAATAATGGATAGCAAAACCATGCCAGCAAATTCCACAGCAAGAATAGAAAATTCCAGAGAATTTCGAAAACAATCTGAGCCGTCCATTCACCTCCACCACACCTCCTCGGCCATAGATTTCATGCAGGCTCTGAAGGAAGCTTCCTCGTCGCTTCCTGCTTCCACGTCAGGCGGGCAAGCCACTGCCTCCCACCATCTGCACCGACCATCAACAAAAGTGCAGGAGCTGTCAAATGCAGACAGGTGGGCTGCGGAGGTTGTTTTTGAGAATTCTCAAAAACAATCTGCAGCATAAAAGTGCAGGAGCTGTCAAATGCAGACAGGTGGGCTGCGGAGGTTGTTTTTGAGAATTCTCAAAAACAATCTGCAGCATAAAAGTGCAGGAGCTGTCAAATGCAGACAGGTGGGCTGCGGAGGTTGTTTTTGAGAATTCTCAAAAACAATCTGCAGCATAAAAGTGCAGGAGCTGTCAAATGCAGACAGGTGGGCTGCGGAGGTCTTACTTCCAACCATCAACAAAAGTGCGCGTGGCGTAAAATCATTCTCAGCAGAATACACATGGCAGCGCAAAGCTAACCTGCCCTGTGCCTGTGCTCGCCCCACTAGGCCTCAACCCCTCCACTCACATGGGCTCAACCCCTCCACTCACATGGGCTTGTGCCCCACAGCAAACGGAGTCCGCGCCTCCAGCACCACCTTCCACCTCTCACCACTCCTTCGCTCACCCCCTTCCCACAACCCCCTACCACTCACAAGGCCTTGTGCCCCACAGCAAACGGAGTCCACGCCTTCAACACCACCTTCCACCTCACGCCACCCTTTCACTCGCCCCTCTTCTTCTTCTAACCCCACTTCTAACAGGGTCCATGCATCACCCTTCACTACACTCACACGGCCTTGTGGCCCACAGCAAACGGCGTCCATGCTTCCACCACCACCTTCCACCTCTCCTCCTCCTCCTCCTCCTCCTCCTCCCCATCCCCCTCTCTCTCCTTGTCCCTGACCTCTCCTCCTTTCTTTTCCAGTAGCGTGTGGGCGCGAGACAGGGCTGACACAACCACCTGCCATTGGAACATGAAGGAGAGTGCATGCATTTGTGATGCATAGCCAAGCGGCTTTCGAGACTCGAAAAGATACACACTGCATAGGCGAGTGCCTGCAATGGTATAAATTGGTTTCCCCAGGCAACTCATCCTTAGGTAAAAGCATGTTGGTGTTTAAGCTATCATGGGAAAGAATACATGTGCGTGAAATGCAATCAATCACGCGATCACCTTGGCAGCCAATCGGAAGATGTCATTTGATTCTGCGAAGATAGGGGTGGGGGAAACGCGAAAGACACATTCGAGAAAAGAAGGGCAGAAATGAAAAAGAAGAGGGTTTCGAGGCACCTTGAGAGTAGAAAAAAGTTTTTCAAGGAGAAAAAAAGTTTTTGAGACAACCTCAAAAGTGGAGAAGAGCATAAGATGATAGAGAGAGAATGGTGAGACCAATCATGCGACTGTCGAGTCGACTTCACAGGTACCATCATTTCCTTACCATCCGCATCCCCTCACCATCAGCATGGGTATAGAAGGCCTTGAGAGCTTCAGTATCCTTGGCATGCGAGGCATGCCCAAGACACAGCATGGCATGAGTGCAAACTCCCTTCCCTAACCTCCAAACCAGTTACCATCAGCATCAGCATCTACTCACCATCAGCATGGGTATAGAAGGCCTTGAGAGCTTCAGTATCCTTGGCATGAGAGGCATGGCCCAGACACAGCATTGCATGGCCATCCGTCCATGCTGACGTGGCACATGTGGAACTGATGAAACGGGGGGGCATGATCCATAGGTAGTGTGATGGGATGGGAGGGAAAATGGGAGGATATGCATGCACGGAAGAGAGAGTCATATGCATGCATACAACACAGCTTCATCATGTGCGCATGGCATGCAAAAATCGGACATGGGGCATGACATGCAGAGCGGATGCCGTAGGACATGTTATTCTGGGTATGGATGGGGTATGGTGTATCACAAAGTATGTATCATGTGGTATGCACCAAAAAGAAAGGCGCCAACACCCTCCATTCTATCTACAACCTACTCCCACGAATGCCAATCCCTTCCCACCTACCCATCCACCCCCCCTCCCCCATCCGCCTCACCTGCAGAAGGTCTCTTGAGTGCAGTTCCCGGGGCATGGCATAGCAGCAGAGGGCAACGCACCCACCCACTCCAATCTACCACGGTACCACCTAACTCCATAAGTCCCAATCTTCTTCCCACCCATCCATCTGCCTCACCTGCAGAAGACTTCTTGAGTGCAGCCGCCAGGGCAAGGCACAGCAGAGGGCAGCGCACCCACACACTCCGCATGGGGCAGCTTCAGCTGCCCGCCTGACAGCTGCTCTATAAATGTATCCGCTGCTGCTGCTCCCGGCAATTCCTCTTTACTTCCTTCTTTGCCTTTCTCGACACCCTCTTGCTCCTTACCCTCCTCTTGATCCTCGTCGCCTTCTTCCCCCTCCTCCCTCATTCCCTTGTGCCACGTCAGCAGCCGGGCAACAGCTTGCTCCAGCGGACCAATGAAACGCAAGCAGTGGGAGCAGACCAGGGCTCGGGCCTGCCACAGGGGTTTCAAGATGAGGGTTTCAGATTTGGCGTATAACGTGGAGACAGACACGGCAATTACTCTAGCGGGCCAATGAAAAGCAGCCAGCAGGGCACCACTGCTCGGACCTGAACAAGACAAGTGGGGACGAGAAAGGAAAAAGGGAAGAGGAAGAGAAAGTGGGGAGGAGACGAAAGCATGAACAGGATAGTTGACAAAGCAAGAAGACCTAAATTTAGTGCAATAACGAATAGCAAGAATGAGAGCATACTAGCGCTCCTTGGGGGCTGAATACTACTAGCACACTCGTTATCCTAAATTGAGTGTGCTAGTTACCCTATTGTGAGAGTGTTGCATGCTGACCAACGGAGGCTCCTGCAGCACCACGTCACCCTCCTTGAAATCCACGTCAGCAAACACCCCTGATTGGACGGGAGAGCAGAAGTCAACACACACGAAGTGAAGAGAGGGCAGAAGAGCAGACAGCTGGCAGGCAGTGCATGCATCTTGATGGCCTTTGGCCGTTCTTAAAGACAGACTAAAAGCAAATCAATGAAGCAATAACGCGAAACAAGGGGAATATTTCAAGAGCATCGTACACTGGGCAAGCTTGGAGGGCCTATAGCTGAGGGTTTTTAGCTATATTCTTCCATAGCTTAGGGGTTTAGCCTAAGACCCACCTCCACTCATCACCTCATCACACTAGAAGAATATTCTCAGCCTGAGTAGATTGAGAATCGGATCGTTTTCGATCTACTCTGCCTAGGATCCCCTTCACTCATCACCTCGCTTAATTTCACTCATCCCCTCCCCCATGCCGCTCATTACCTCACCCCATGCCGCTCATTACCTCACCCCATGCCGCTCATTACCTCACCCCATGCCGCTCATTACCTCACCCCATGCCGCTCATTACCTCACCCCATGCCGCTCATTACCTCACCCCATGCCGCTCATTACCTCACCCCATGCCGCTCATTACCTCACCCCATGCCGCTCATTACCTCACCCCATGCCGCTCATTACCTCACCCCATGCCGCTCATTACCTCACCCCATGCCGCTCATTACCTCACCCCATGCCGCCCATTACCTCACCCCATGCCGCTCATTACCTCGCCCCATGTCGCTAGTGTGTCGCAGAGTAAGCCCTGCGCCCACGCCCGTCGCGAAGAGGTCGCGGAAAAAATCGCTGAAGCACGGGAATTGCGTGGTGGGAAGACGTGAGAACACGCTTGAGGAACGATTTTGGGGTCACGAATCATCGATTTTGAGAATGAGCCGTCTCGTTTCAGTCACTCGTGGTCGTCATTCTTGTAACGAGTGAGCTACATTCCGCAAAGAAATTCCGCGAAGTCTTAGGCGAAAGGACAGGTAACATGTGCACTGCATTGATGACTAGCGATAATAAAAACGGGGAACCCTTCTATCGCGTACTTCGGCTACCGCTTCCGGCGGCCGTTGCAGCAACTGCTCCTCTCGCGACATCGCCATGGGAAATCGAACTGAGCGGGAGCTCTGCGCGCGCGCGAAACTCGTTTTTCCGATGGTACAGCAGCAATCCGGAGGCGCCAGCTTCTAGGATTTCCCGTCGGCTAATCAACCCCAACTCGGAGTGATCACAACGCGAGCTTCGCTGCCATCATTTTCCTGAGGGAACGGCAGCACATCCTCGTCACGCACAGGTCGTGTACATCGTTGTGCATGCTTATACTGTGTAGACTCCGCATTTTATAATTATACATATCCTTTTCATTGTCTTGGTTTTTTGCCCGGTTCCACCTTTTCAAGAAGCACCCACAGAATAATGTAAAAGAGCACTTCATACACATAAACTCAATGACATCACCCACCAATCGTAGGACAGATCAAACCAACATAATACATAAACCCCAAATCCATTTAACAAGCTTCCTCGCACAAATGACTACCTCCAATTGAGCTTTCGCTTCATGAAGATCAGTGCAGCTGGATACCGCTTTATAAGCTCTAGAGATTCCTCCAAGTGGAGAGTGGAATGGATAATATAAACAGCAGGCAGTTGGATGCAGAGAAGATGGCGTAGCAAGCTAATTATCCAAGTTGTGTCAGCCTAGCAGCACCTCAGTGGTAATCCACCGGGGCTGGGTGCTCCTTGAGTTGCTTGCCTGCCTTGATAATGGTCTGCCACAGGGGGGTCGGGAGATCCAGGAAGCGGGGGAGATTGTGAGGCGTGTAAGATTGAGAGGTATACAAAACTAGGAGCTGTGGCCGTGGCGGTTCCAAAAACCATGCAGTCTAAGGCAAAAGCAGTGTGTACCAGACTCCTATTCCAAAAAAATACCATGACTCACCGTACGTACCAGTTCATAGAGCGTGGCATCCATGGGCACTGGGCAGCTGTCAGTAGCCAATCATCATCCCCACACACCATGCTGTAACTAGGTAACCGCAACTCGCACTCACCGCAGCGTAGTAGTTCACGTCCCGGTAGTGTGCCTCATCTGCCCGCACGGACAGCACCACGTCGTACAGCGTTGCATCCTTGGGCAGCTGCCAGTAGACTCAACCTTACTCCCCACATTCCACAAGCCCATGTGGTAACCAGGTAACCAAAAGCCCATGTCTCCCCACCCACCGCAGCGTAGTGGTTGACATCCCGGTGGTGCACCTCGTCCGCCCGCACCGACAGCACCACGTCGTACAGCGTGGCGTCTTTAGGAAGCTGCCAGTAGTCGATGGCAATCTCACTACCCACACGTCCATGTGGTAACCAGGTAACCACAACCCCAACTTACCGCTGCATAGTGGTTCACATCCCGATGATGCGCCTCATCCGCCCGCACGGACAGCACCACATCATACAGCGTCGCATCCTTGGGCAACTGCCAGTAGTCAATGGCAATCTGCGGCGCCGGCACGTTGGCTATGCGCCCCTCATCGATCTCTTTGAGGTACTGCGTGTACGAGTGCACTGCCTCCTCTTCCAGATAGCCCACGATGCGGTGCGCGATGCGTGGGGAGAGGAGGTAGACGAGGCCGTAGACAGCAGCGAAGCCGCTCTGGTAAATGCGGGAAACAGGGGGTGGCAAGGCGGAAAAGAGAGCTTATGGAGTGATGGATATGGAGTCGAATACGAATCGCTCTGCTGACAAAGCGACAACTCAATGTTCTGGATAAGGTGGGTTCTTGAGAGGTGAGTTCTTGAGAAATGAAAGGGGTGTCACCCAAAGTGAACGGATCACCTCAACTGATAGCTCACCTGAACGGTAAATATAAGGCTGCGCTCGAACCAAGTCGGCTGCGAGACGTGCATGAAGGTCATGAGGTGCATGCGCTCGCTCTCCGCCTCTTCCCGCCATCAGCGCGCAGAGCGAGGGAGGGAATCATGATGCAGGCTGCTCGTGTACCAACCTAAGCGTCACCACAACGGCTGGGCTCACCTGAACGGTGAAGATCAGGCCGCGCTCGAACCAAGTCGGCTGCGAGACGTGCATGAAGGTCATGAGGTGCATGCGCTCATTCTCCGCCTCCTCCAGCAGCGCGCGCGGATCCACCCGCCGCTGCTCTCCTCTCCACGAGGCGCAGGCAGCTGCCTACCCAACCAATACTCCCCCGAAACGGCTAAAAAACGCACCAACTGAACGGCTCAAGCAAACATATACCTCGCCTGAACGGAGACCTTACCTGAACGGTGAATATGAGTCCGCGCTCGAACCACGTGGGCTTCGACACCTGCATGAAGGTCATGAGGTGCATGCGCTCGTTCTCCGCTTCCTCCAGCAGCGCGCGGATCCACCCGCCGCTGTTCTCCACGAGGCGCAGGCACCGCATGTGCAGCATCACCCCCGCCACCATCCCCGGCACCGCCGCGACGGTCTCCAGCATCATCGCGCGGCAGCCATAGCGTTTCTGCGCGGTGCAGAGCGGTGAACGAGGGGAAGGGGAAGTGGGGGGAGGGGGGAGAGAGGGTGTAAGCGCATGTGCGCAGCAAGCCCGCCACCATTCCCGGCACCGCCGCGACGGTTTCCAGCATCATCGCGCGGCAGCCGTACCGTTTCTGCGCCGTGCAGAGCGGTGAGGGGAAGGGGAAAAAAAGCAAGGTTGGATTTTGAGTCTGCGTCGGAAGTCACCTCGCTTCCGGCGTCATCGCGCGGCAACGGTGCCGTTTGTGCGCAGGGGAGTGAGGCGCGGAGGGATAAAATGGTGACGAAAATTGCAAGCAAAGAACTAGACGAGCGGAGGAACGGTAAAATCTACAAATGCGTATGCTGGGACACAAAGAAATAGAGATCAAGACAGCGCAGGGGTCCCCGTGGGAATCATGCGGCAGGGGTCCCCGTGGGAACATAAACGAACAGCACGCGGAGCAGAGCGAAGGGGAGCAATCACCTGAAAGAAGAGGTCGGTGGGAAAGCGCAGCGACTTCACGAGGTACTTGGCGAAAGCGTCACCGAAGCTGGTAACCGGAAAGTGCCTGTCAAGTTCCGTCTTTCGGTTTGCGGTGTAGGTGTCCGTGGGCTGCGCACATTACCAAACGAAAACGGTGAGTGACTCAATATCAGGGATACAAAGCCGAACAAGCTCACAAATGATAAGTACACCCAGTTAACAAACAAAACTGTCTATCCAAATTATCCCACCAGATTATGTCCCACAATTTTCATTACAACAAATTGCTCACCCTGAAGGAATGCCAGGGCCAGGGCGTGCCATCATCACGCAGGTATTGCTTGGGCTTGATTCCCCAATACTGTGAAAGCGCGTCCGGATCCCGTGCAATCTTTTTCATGTCCAACGGAGGCTCATTTTCCGCCTTGGGCTGCACGCCAGAAAGCAAACCAGCGGTATTAATGAGGGTATTGATGAGGCTGAAAATATTGTCTGTTTCTGTTGAAATCGCAGACGACGACAGTCAAGGGAGACGTGATTTGACAAAGCCGTTTGTAAGCCATATACCGTCACTCAATCATGTCCTTTGTTTACCTTGCTGCTGTGTGCGTGATCCTCCGGCTCTTCTTCGAAAACTCGCGCTGTCGCCGTGTTATGCGGGCGGATCTGGATCTTGAACCGTTCAATCGTTGAGCTCGCAGCGGTTACACCGCCAAAACGTGGCCCCAGCTGAGCTGTCGTCCACGTCTGGCCAATCATCGCGCTTTCTTTGCTACTAGCCGCAGCCGAAGCCGCCGCTGTGGTCGAAGCGCGAGAGACGCTCCAGTAGGCTGCTCGCGGCACGGATTGGGAAGCCTCGCCCGCCGCATAGCTGACGCGCGCTGCGGGGGCGAAAAGAGAAGGGGAGGTTGCGTGCTGCAGTGCTCCGATCCTCCCAGTGCTCTCGAGCTGCAAAAAGAGAGAAAGAAAGAGAACACAAATCGTGTATTTTGGGACGATCTCCTGGAAATAATGAAAAGGGGTTTGTTGAGAAAATTCGTGTTTTTTAAAGGTGGACCGCTTACCACAGTGGAGTAGCAGGCAAATCGAAATGTCGTTTGATATGCTGCAGGGTGCTCCAGCAACCTTCGAGCTGCACGATTGTTTCTCAATACAGCAGTAGCCATGGTTGGCGATTGATATCAGCGGCTAGATCTTGATGATTGGAAGTGCTTGATCGTTAGCGAATATCGACGGAAGGGTGGTGGGAGGATGTGAAATGAGATAGGAGTGGACGGGACGGGGGACAGCGATAACGAAGTGCACGGAGTTGATAACGCTGATGCCGCTGCTGCTTGCACCAACCAGGAATATCAAGGAATCAAGATTTGTTGTGGGGCTCGAATGTGAACCTTGGTGCATACGGGATGGGCTCTTTCAAGGTGCTCGCATCTTCACGAACCGCATGATGGCTGAAATCGAACCGCCGCTGGGGCATGTGTGCACAGCTCCTCTGCTCAACTCGAATTTCGTGGCATGAGAGCACACTGGTAACTTCTCACGAAGGCTGCGACGAGGAGACCATTTTCCGCCGTCAATTCTGGTCGCCAACTGGCTGGCTGAGGGGCGAGCGAACGGCTGCCACGAAAATGGTCCAACCAGGTGACGCAGAAATTGGGCGTCGTGGAAACGGCGAGGCTGATTCGTTCCTGGGGGTGCTGACTCGGTTGCCCCTGGGGGGAGAAAAGGAGGACGAAGGTTCAGGCGAAATGCCGTGGCCCAGGCTTCCGTGAATGCCGTAAACCCCAGCGCCACACTTTCGTTCGTCCTCGCTATGTGGTACCTCGTGGAACGGTTGAATAACAAGAAGTACACCGCGCATCTAGTGGTCCATCCATGGTTTGAAACTGCTTTACGTCTGTACAGCTCTAAAATCCTATATTTTTACAAGACGAACGTTTGAAGCTGCTTTAGAGGACAGGTCCTCATGGAATCTATGGAAAGCAGATCAGGTGGCTGTCCACCAAGACACTACTGGACTACAGTCTGCGGCATATATAACACTGCAACCGAACATACAGTAAAGACATCTAACAGATTTTGAATCCTCCATTGTTCGTAGGAATATAAAACCCTTTATTTTGACACAAAAAAGCTTGAACCTCGAATTGTCCGCCACCACAGTGCTAAGTCCGCCGACTTTTGAGTCGACTCTTAAGTCACCTCCACCAGTGCTATGTTCGCATCAATTCTCCTTGCACCGACTCATCCTCTGATGCCGCATCAGGTTTTGTATGCCCCCCCTCGCACCCCTCCACTCCAGGACGCATCACGCCGCCCTCAACCTCCTCTTCCTCCTCCTCATCCCACTCGCTCCCCTCCTCCACCACCCTACATCCCCCTCTCAGCCTCTCCATATAATCCCCGCCAACATACACCCCCCCTCCGTTCCTGGTCTCTCTATAAAGCTCCCCACCACCGGCAAAACCACCGCTAGCTACACCATCACTGATATAATCCCCTGATGCGGCACCCCCTCCTTCATAGTACCCCTGCTGCCCTGCCTGCATGTGCACCCCCCCTGCACCGTGAAGAGGCATGTCCCGAGAATCGGCGTAACCGCCCGGGTGGTAACCGCCTGCTTGCTCGCCACTCATCAGGCTTTCAAGATTATGAGACCTTGAGTGCAAGTAAGCGTGTTGGGAGTGACGGGGAAGAGGAGAGTTGGGAGGGGGGGGAGGGAGGGAGAGTGAATAATGAAGGGATAAAGAGGGAAGGGTAGGGTATGGAGCACACAGAGTTGCTATCTGTGAGCAGCTTGCTCTTTGAAACGCCTCAAAAATCACCTCAACACAGCGTTTGTTATCCGAGCCGAGGGCGCATTGCTCTCCAGCCTTTGATCAAAGCCTGGTTTTGAGGCACCTCAAAGAACTAACTCCTGATGAGGCATCCCGGAAGCAAGCAAAGCAAGGAAAGAACCTTCACCCTTGAACCGTCAGACAGGGCCAACGGCAACACCCTCTCTCTCCTATGCAGCCGGTGCTCAAGCCACTAGACAATCATGGACTGCACGGCAATGCTGTCTGTGAGCGCCTTGCTATCTAACCTCTGATCAGTCATAGGAAGGCAGCACAGAGACTCACTCTCTCCTTTGCAGCCGGTGCTCCAGCCACTCAGCGATCATGGAGCGCACGGCAATGTTGTCTGTGAGCGCCTTGCCCTCCAGACTCCCCAGAAGCAAGTAACGCAAGTACTCAAGGGAAGCACTGAGGCACGACCAGAAGCAAGCACACAGGGCCAGCACTCACTCTCTGCGTTGCAGGCGGTGCTCCAGCCACTCAGCAATCATGGATCGCACGGCAATGTTGTCTGTGAGCGCCTTGCTGTCGAGGCGGCGGCCAGTCTTGGGCGAGGTGTGGTGCACGCGCAACCACTGCTCTATGGCCTCCCTCTCGTACGTGTGCCCATCAGCTGCTAGTACAGGATTCTCCATTATACCCTGGGGAGTTTAAAGAGAAGGGCAGGAAGACAAGGGCGTGCGGCCAGTCTCTGGTGAGGTGTGGTGCATGCTCAGCCACTGCTCTATGGCCTCCCTCTCGTACATGTTCCCGTCCGCTGCCAGTACTGGATTCTCCATTATGCCCTGATGGGCGGAGAGGGGGGTTTGGGAAGAGGATAAGGGATGGAAAGAGAATGGGGGGGAGGTTTACTCGTATGTGTGGCTGCTTTCTGCCAGCACTGGATTCTCCATTATGCCCTGCCGGAGAAGCAGCGGGGGCTGGGGGAGGAGAGTGGGGAGCGTGCACATACGATGGTGATGAGGCATGCAGCTGGTCTTACCATGGTTATGGGGCACTGATGCACATGCATTCTACCATGGTGATTGGGCATGCATTCGACCCTACCATGGTGATTGGGCATGCATTCGACCCTACCATGGTGATTGGGCATGCATTCGACCCTACCTTGGTGATTGGGCATGCATTCGACCCTACCATGGTGATTGGGCATGCATTCGACCCTACCATGGTGATTGGGCATGCATCCGACCCTACCATGGTGATTGGGCATGCATTCGACCCTACCATGGTGATTGGGCATGCATCCGACCCTACCATGGTGATTGGGCATGCATTCGACCCTACCATGGTGATTGGGCATGCATCCGACCCTACCATGGTGATTGGGCATGCATTTGACCCTACCATGGTGATTGGGCATGCATTCGACCCTACCATGGTGATTGGGCATGCATCCGACCCTACCATGGTGATTGGGCATGCATCCGACCCTACCATGGTGATTGGGCATGCATTCGACCCTACCATGGTGATTGGGCATGCATTCGACCCTACCATGGTGATTGGGCATGCATCCGACCCTACCATGGTGATTGGGCATGCATTCGACCCTACCACGGTGATTGGGCATGCATCCGACCCTACCATGGTGATTGGGCATGCATTCGACCCTACCATGGTGATTGGGCATGCATCCGACCCTACCATGGTGATTGGGCATGCATTCGACCCTACCATGGTGATTGGGCATGCATTCGACCCTACCATGGTGATTGGGCATGCATCCGACCCTACCATGGTGATTGGGCATGCATCCGACCCTACCATGGTGATTGGGCATGCATTCGACCCTACCATGGTGATTGGGCATGCATTCGACCCTACCATGGTGATTGGGCATGCATCCGACCCTACCATGGTGACTGGGCATGCATCCGACCCTACCATGGTGACTGGGCATGCATTCGACCCTACCATGGTGATTGGGCATGCATCCGACCCTACCATGGTGATTGGGCATGCATCCGACCCTACCATGGTGATTGGGCATGCATTCGACCCTACCATGGTGATTGGGCATGCATCCGACCCTACCATGGTGATTGGGCATGCATTCGACCCTACCATGGTGATTGGGCATGCATTCGACCCTACCATGGTGATTGGGCATGCATCCGACCCTACCATGGTGATTGGGCATGCATTCGAACCTACCATGGTGATTGGGCATGCATTCGACCCTACCATGGTGATTGGGCATGCATTCGACCCTACCATGGTGATTGGGCATGCATTCGACCCTACCATGGTGATTGGGCATGCATCCGACCCTACCATGGTGATTGGGCATGCATTCGACCCTACCATGGTGATTGGGCATGCATTCGACCCTACCATGGTGATGGGGCATGCATCCGACCCTACCATGGTGATTGGGCATGCATCCAACCCTACCATGGTGATTGGGCATGCATCCGACCCTACCATGGTGATTGGGCATGCATTCGACCCTACCATGGTGATTGGGCATGCATTCGACCCTACCATGGTGATTTGGCATGCATCCGACCCTACCATGGTGATTGGGCATGCATCCGACCCTACCATGGTGACTGGGCATGCATTCGACCCTACCATGGTGATTGGGCATGCATCCGACCCTACCATGGTGATTGGGCATGCATCCGACCCTACCATGGTGATTGGGCATGCATTCGACCCTACCATGGTGATTGGGCATGCATCCGACCCTACCATGGTGATGGGGCATGCATTCGACCCTACCATGGTGATGGGGCATGCATTCGACCCTACCATGGTGATTGGGCATGCATTCGACCCTACCATGGTGATTGGGCATGCATTCGATCCTACCATGGTGACGGGGCATGCATTCGATCCTACCATGGTGATGGGGCATGCATTCGATCCTACCATGGTGATGGGGCATGCATTCGATCCTACCATGGTGATGGGGCATGCATTCGATCCTACCATGGTGATGGGGCATGCATTCGATCCTACCATGGTGATGGGGCATGCATTCGATCCTACCATGGTGATGGGGCATGCATTCGATCCTACCATGGTGATGGGGCATGCATTCGATCCTACCATGGTGATGGGGCATGCATTCGATCCTACCATGGTGATGGGGCATGCATTCGATCCTACCATAGTGATGGGGCATGCATTCGATCCTACCATGGTGATGGGGCATGCATTCGATCCTACCATGGTGATGGGGCATGCATTCGATCCTACCATGGTGATGGGGCATGCATTCGATGTTAGAATTCTGTGAAGGATGACTTGAGAACTGAAAGAAGTTGATGATTGATTGAGGAGGATGGGGGTATACATAGGAAGTGGGTTGGATACTAGCCTTGGTGTGCATTATTGGACCCCAACCAAGAAGTTGGGTTGGGAGATTATTGGTGGGGTCCAATAATGTTGGCCAAGTTGGAGTTGGGCCAACATTATTGGAGGGGACCAATATTTCTAACCAAACCAACCTTTGGGGTCCAATAATTGGACCAAGGTTGGGTTCCAACCTACAAACTGGGTTACTCCTGTTTGTACACCCAAACTAAGTTTGGGTGCTTAACTCTAGACAAGCGAACTAGCATATGCAGGATGAATAGAATAGAGGTTTTCTAACACAACCCCTCAGCCTGCATAGGGCTAGGAGGCTTGAATGAGAGACGGGGCAACCCCTGAAGCATGAACGCGATGCCAGGCAGAGAAGCTGAAGGAAAGGGGCTTGCGGCGTGAAGTCCATCTGCAAGCCGGGGGGGAGAGGAGGGGGGGGACGTGCTGACGGTGACCAGCCGAAGGGGTAGTGGCGAAGGGAGAAGGCGGCGGCAGCGGGAGGGCTGCGGCTGCGAAGGGGAACGGCGGCGGCAGCGGGAGGGCTGCGGCGGCGAACCGGAGACGGCGGCGGCAGCGGGAGGGCTGCGGCTGCGAAGGGGAGCGGCGGCGGCAGCGGGAGGGCTGCGGCGGCGGAAGGGGGACGGCGGCGGCAGCGGGAGAGCTGCGGCGACAAAGGGGGACGGCGGCGGCAGCGGGAGGGCTGCGGCTGCGAAGGGGAACGGCGGCGGCAACGGGAGGGCTGCGGCGGCGGAAGGGGGACGGCGGCGGCAGCGGGAGGGCTGCGGCGGCGAACGGGAGACGGCGGCGGCAGCGGGAGGGCTGCGGCTGCGAAGGGGAGCGGCGGCGGCAGCGGGAGAGCTGCGGCGACGAAGGGGGACGGCGGCGGCAGCGGGAGGGCTGCGGCGGCGGAAGGGGGACGGCGGCAGCGAGAGGGCGGCGGATGGCCCTTAGGAGGAGGAAGCGAGGGGGAAGGAGGGCGGGATGGCCCTTAAGGAGGAGAAAACGAGGGGAAGGAGGGCGGGATGGCCTTTAAGGAGGAGGAAACGAGGGGGGAGGAGGGCGGGATGGCCCTTAGGAGGAGGAAGCGAGGGGGAAGGAGGGCAGGATGGCCCTTAGGAGGAGGAAGCGAGGGGGAAGGAGGGCGGGATGGCCCTTAAGAGGAGGAATCGAGGGGGGGAAGGAGGGCGGGATGGCCCTTAGGAGGTGGAAGCGAGGGGGGAGGAGGGCGGGATGGCCCTTAGGAGGTGGAAGCGAGGGGGAAGGAGGGCGGGATGGCCCTTAGGAGGAGGAAGCGTGGGGGGAGGAGGGCGGGATGGCCCTTAAGGAGGAGGAAGCGAGGGGGAAGGAGGGCGAGATGGTGCTTAAAGAGGAGGAAACGAGGGGGGGAAGGAGGGCGGGATGGCCCTTAGGAGGTGGAAGCGAGGGGGAAGGAGGGCGGGATGGCCCTGAGGAGGAGGAAGCGAGGGGGAAGGAGGGCGGGATGGCCCTTAGGAGGAGGAAGCGTGGGGGAAGGAGGGCGGGATGGCCCTTAGGAGGTGGAAGCGAGGGGGAAGGAGGGCGGGATGGCTCTTAAGGAGGAGGAAACGAGGGGGGAGGAGGGCGGGATGGCCCTTAGGAGGAGGAAGCGAGGGGGAAGGAGGGCGGGATGGCCCTTAAGAGGAGGAAACGAGTGGGGGGGAAGGAGGGCGGGATGGCCCTTAGGAGGTGGAAGCGAGGGGGAAGGAGGGCGGGATGGCCCTGAGGAGGAGGAAGCGAGGGGGAAGGAGGGCGGGATGGCCCTTAGGAGGAGGAAGCGAGGGGGAAGGAGGGCCGGATGGCCCTTAGGAGGAGGAAGCGAGAGGGAAGGAGGGCGGGATGGCCCTTAAGGAGGAGGAAACGGGGGGGGAGGAGGGCGGGATGGCCCTTAAGGAGGAGGAAGCGAGGGGGAAGGAGGGCGGGATGGCCCTTAGGAGGATGAAGCGAGGGGGAAAGGGGGCGGGATAGCCCATAGGAGGAGGAAGCGAGGGGGAAGGAGGGCGGGATGGCCCTTAAGGGGGAGGAAATGAGGGGAAAGGAGGGCAGGATGGCGAGGCGACGAGGCGGCGGAGCGGGGCGCCGGTAGGCGGGAGGGGGGAGGCGGCGGAGCGGGGCGCCGTTAGGCGCGAGGGCGGAGGCGACGGGAGCGGGGCGCCGTTAGGCGCGAGGGCGGAGGCGACGGGAGCGGGGCGCCGTTAGGCGCGAGGGCGGAGGCGACGGGAGCGGGGCGCCGTTAGGCGCGAGGGCGGAGGCGACGGGAGCGGGGCGCCGTTAGGCGCGAGGGCGGAGGCGACGGGAGCGGGGCGCCGTTAGGCGCGAGGGCGGAGGCGACGGGAGCGGGGCGCCGTTAGGCGCGAGGGCGGAGGCGACGGGAGCGGGGCGCCGTTAGGCGCGAGGGCGGAGGCGACGGGAGCGGGGCGCCGTTAGGCGCGAGGGCGGAGGCGACGGGAGCGGGGCGCCGTTAGGCGCGAGGGCGGAGGCGACGGGAGCGGCTGTAGCGATGCGGCGGACGGAGGGTGCCGAAATCGCCGTAAAATTGAGTCCGCGCGGCTGCTGGTCGCGACGGCCTCGATGGTCGTGATTCGGCGGACGGCACCGAAACCGCCGCGAAATCGCGTGGAAGGACACGCAGGACACATGGTCCTAGGATCGTGAGGGGCGTGAGCCAAAATGCTCTGACACCATGTTAGAATTCTGTGAAGGATGACTTGAGAACTGAAAGAAGTTGATGATTGATTGAGGAGGATGGGGGTATACATAAAAAGTGGGTTGGATACTAGCCTAGGTGAGCATTATTGGACCCCAACCAAGAAGTTGGGTTGGGAGATTATTGGTGGGGTCCAATAATGTTGGCCAAGTTGGAGTTGGGCCAACATTATTGGAGGGGACCAATAATTCTAACCAAACCAACCTTTGGGGTCCAATAATTGGACCAAGGTTGGGTTCCAACCTACAAACTGGGTTACTCCTGTTTGTACACCCAAACTAAGTTTGGGTGCTTAACTCTAGACAAGCGAACTAGCATATGCAGGATGAATAGAATAGAGGTTTTCTAACATTCGATCCTACCATGGTGATGGGGCATGCATTCGATCCTACCATGGTGATGGGGCATGCATTCGATCCTACCATGGTGATGGGGCATGCATTCGATCCTACCATGGTGATGGGGCATGCATTCGATCCTACCATGGTGATGGGGCATCGGAACTCGTTGGGAACGAAGTCTCGGTAGTCATCCATGCGATCCGCCCTCTCCAGTGCCACAGCAGCATCCACATAGGGGCGCAGCTCCTCCACCACTGCCATCACCTGGGGGAGGGGGAAGTGGTGGGAAGTGGTGGGAAGTGGTGGGAAGTGGTGGGAAATGGTAGGAAGTAGAGGACAGGTCAGCACATGTGTATCAGCACTGCCGCATCTACATACAGGCACAGCCCCTCCACCACTGCCATCACCAGGAAGCTTAGACATGGCGTGAGGGAGTGGAGTGAGGCAGGGAGGGATGGAATGCGGTTAGGCCAGCCCAGTCAAGGGCCACTTCAGCGTCCACTTAGGGCCGCAGCTCTTCCACCACTGCCATCACCTGGGGGAGGGGAACGGAGTGGGGGAGAAAAGAGCGATGGGGAGGGGTGGAATGAGGTCAGTGAGGCCAGCACATGCCTGTACGTACTGCAGTGTCCACGTGTGGGCGCAACTCTTCCACCACTGCCATCACCTGGGGGAAGGGGAAGGAGTGGGGGAGTGAAGAGAGATTGAAGGGATGATGAGATGAAGGGATGAGATCAGGTCAGCACAACACCCCATCCCCACCCCCACCCCCACCCCCACCCCCATCATCCCCACCATCACCATCACCATCACCACCCCGATCATCCCCAGGGGACCCACCACCCATCATCACCCCACCACAGATCCGTACCTGCTTGCTCAGGTCCGGCCGAGCCTTCCTCTTGTAGTGCGCCATCTGCCGCACCAGCTGCACCAACCGCAGCGCGACACGTGGCGGCCAGCACCCCGCCGACGGATCTAACAACTCCCCCAACGCCTCCAAGTCCCCGCCCTCCTCACACTCCTCCAACGCCTCTAACTCCCTGTCCCTCTTCCCCCTTTCCCCTGACGACTCATTGATGCCTATCAGCATGTCCAGCATGACCATGCCGAGGGAATACACGTCGGACTCGCGGGAGAACTGGCCGGTGCGCAGGAAGTGCGGGTCCACGTAGCCGAAGGTGCCGACGGCCATGGACTGCTGCATGAAGGAGCGCCCGTTGTCCATGCCCACGAGGAAACGGGCCAGCCCCACGTCGCCTAGCTTGGCCACAAAGTTGTTGTCTAGGAGGACGTTGGCTGGCTTGAGGTCCAAGTGGACTATTGCGGGGACACTGGGAGGGAAGGGGAGAGGACGAGGAGGGGGAGCAGGGGGATGGAGGGAGGGAGGAAGGGGGGAAGAAATGGCATGAGGTGTGTGAATAACCGAAGGTGCCGACGGCCATGGACTGCTGCATGAAGGAGCGGCCGTTGTCCATGCCCACGAGGAAATGGGCCAGCCGCACGTCTCCTAGCTTGGCCACGAAATTGTTGTCCAGGAGGACGTTTGCAGGTTTGTGGTCCAGATGCACTATTGCGGGCACATTGAACAATTGGGGGAGGAGGGGATAAGGGTGGGGGGGGGGGGGGGGGGGAGAGGGGGAGGGAGGGAGAGAGAAGTGGGAAAGTGAGGGCATGAGGCGGCAGAAGAACCAAACATGCTGACAGACGGCCATGGACTGCCGCATGAACGAGTGGCCGTTGTCCATGCCCACCAGGAAACGGGCGAGGCCTATGTCTCCCGGCTTGGCGACAAAATTGTTGTCTAGAAGCACGTTGGCTGGCGTTAAGTCCAGGTGGACTATGGCGGGAACACTGGGGTAGGGAGGAGGGGGAAGCAGCTGTCGAGAAGCACGTTGGAGTTGACTTTTGAGAAATGAATTCTCAAAAGTCAACTCCACATTGTTGGCCGCAACGCTGTCGTCGAGAAGCACGTTGGATTGAATGGGTTCAGATCCAAGAGCACTGTGGCGGGTACACTGGTGAGGTTGGAGAGGTGGCATCGGGGGAATGGGAGGAGGCATTGGGGGAATGAGGGTTAAGAAGAGAGGAGGGAGGGAAGGCATCTCGCCAGACCCACATTCCCCAGACTAACGACAAAGCTGTTGCTGGGTTGGGAAACACGTTGGCTGGGTCCAAATGATTTTTGAGTGGACTCAAAAGTCACCTGGAAATACGTTGACTGGGACCAACCAAATCCAGGTGGACTATGGCGGGGACACTTAGAGGAGGGGGAGGAGGGGGTGAGCGGAAAGGAGGGAGTGGGGGAAGAGGAGGAGGGGAAGGGAAGGCATGGGGAAAACAAGGGGGGACATGAGACGGCTCAAAACTGTCCACGGCAGAGGGAGGGAGGAAAAGAGGGGAGCCTTTAACAACAACCGTCTGCTAAATAACCAGCCAAAGTTGCCCAAATCTCGAAGGTTGTGCAGGTGAATGAGCGCCTTGCACATGTTCTCAAAGATCTCGAACCGCACGTTCCACGGTAGGGGCGGGAAAGAAGAGTAGGTCTAGCACAGAGGCAAACATTCTCTGATAAAGCACGCAGTAGCAACTTTAAACCCTAATGAAGCTTACAAGGCAACTGAAGGGTCACTCACCGGTTGTGCAGGTGAATCGGCGCCTTCCACATGTTCTCAAAGATCTCAAAGCGCACGTTCCACGGCAGGGGCGGGGGGGTGTGGGAGGGGAGACGAGCCTCAAGTACATAGGAAGCACATAGGAAGTGAAGCCTCACCGGTTGTGCAGGTGAATAAGCGCCTTGCACATGTTCTCAAAGATCTCGAACCGCACGTTCCACGGCAGGGGCGGAGAGCCGCGGTCGCAGAGAAGGCGGTCGTAGAGCGAGCCTTGTGGCATGTACTCGTACACGAGGCAGGGCGGGTTGTGGCAGCACCCGATCAGCAGCACTATGGTGGGATGGCGCAGGCCCCTCTGCACCTCCACCTGTGGGGGAGAGTGGGGCGGGGGGGGTTTGGGGGATGGGGGAGGAAAGGGATAGAGCCAACCAGCAAGCCCGGGTCAGCTGGTAGGCACCACATGAGGCACGGAGGGTTGTTGCAGCACCCTATCAGCAGCACTATGGTGGGGTGCCTCAGACCCCTCTGCACCTCCACCTGTGGGGGAGAGGTGAAGGGGGGGTTGATGAGGGGTTGAGGAGGGGAGGGGTAGAAGGTGAGGGAGAGGAAGGCTTCTGAGCGAGCCAGCAAGCACGGGTCGGTTGGGAAGTGCGATGTTGATCCCGCAAGGTGCGATGTTCCTCCCAGGTGACGCGGTGCCACAGCAGCAGGCGGTGGTGTGGTGTGGTGGTGAACGGACCTTGCGGCCCACGCACCTCTTTCTTGAACTCCTTGAGAGACTGGTTGGTTTGGGCGTTCTTGAAAACCTTCACCGCCACAGGGGAAGTGCTCCAGCATGCCCTTATACACCGACCGGCCCGTACCCGCCCTGCCAACCCACCCAGACAACTCAACACTGGCACAGATAGACACTCACACTTACTGTGCTGCTGACCTGACCGCGCTCACCTCTTTCTTGAACTCCTTAAGAGCTTGGTTGGTTTGGGCGTTCTTCAGCACCTTCACGGCCACAGGGAAATGCTCCAGCATGCCCTTATACACCGACCGGCCCGTACCCGCCCCAGACAGATACAAACTCACACACACACTGCTGCTGCAGACTGCGCTCACCTCTTTCTTGAACTCTTTAAGAGCTTGGTTGGTCTGGGCGTTCTTGAGCACCTTCACAGCCACAGGGAAGTGCTCTAGCATGCCCTTATACACCGACCCGTACCCGCCCTCGCCCACCAGGTTCTCCTCACTGAACCCGTTACAAGCTGCCTCAAGCTCCTCTATAGAGTATTCCCGGAACTCCTGCTGCTTCTTTAGCCGCTCTAACGCATATTCCTCCTGCGCTTTCACCAGAGTGGCCGCCGCTGATGCTGCTGCCTCTGCTGCAGCCTTTTTTGCCTCCGCTGCTTCTTCTTTCGCTGCCGCCGCCCGTTTTGCCTCCTCCTCCGCCTGACGCTTAGCTAATTCTTTTTCTAGTTCGGCTTCTAAGCGCCGCTGGGATTCGGCTCGGGCGTTCTCCAGAGCCATCCGAGCCTCCTCCCGAGCCTCCCGAGCCTGCTGGTCGGCACGTTCGGCGGCGAGCTGGGCTGCCCGAGCCTGTTCTTGCAGCCGAGCCAGCTCGGCTAGAAGCTCGGTGAAATCAAAGGGAGCTCCGCCAAAGCCAAACCCAGGAGGCATGCCAGGAATTCCCATGCCTGTGTGTCCCATGCCTGGCATACCATACCCAGCACCAGCTGCTGCTGCTGCCGCTGCTGCAGAAGAGGCAGCAGCAGAAGAGGAGGCAGCAGAAGTGGAGGAAGCAGAGGTAGCAGCGTCGAGCATAGGGAAACCCCCACCCATTCCCCCCATTCCACCCATTCCCCCCATCCCACCCATCATACCCGTTTGCCCCATGGGCATTCCCCGTCCTCCCATCATCCCACCACCCATGCCCATGCCCATGCCCATGTATGGGTTCATGTAAGGCCAGCCAAATGGACTCATACCCATGCCCATACCCATGCCTGCGCCCATGCCCATGCCCATTTGTTGCATGTGTGCCGCTGCTGCTGCTGCTGCTGGGTCGTTGGGAGGAGGGGGTGAAAGGGAAGCACCAAGCCCAGGCTCGGAACCAGTGCTACTGGGTGCTCTACCAGCTGCCACTCCTGCTGCTGTTCCTGCTACTTCTGCTGCTGCCCCTGCTGCCCCTGCTATCCCTGCTGCCCCTGCTGCCCCTGCTGCCCCTGCTGCCCCTGCTGTCCCTGCCGCTCCTGCTCCTCCTGCTACTCCTGCATCGCTGCCTGCTCCTGCCACAGGTGCTGGCGGTGGGTCAGAATGGGTTGCTGAATGCCTGCTGCTACTGCTGCTGCAGCTGCTGCTGCTGAAGTTGGCAGTGCGTGTGGGCAAGGGGATGGACGAGCCAAGCGTAGCAACAGCAGCGGCCGAGGGGGAACGGGTTATGCCTGGCGCTGATGGTGCTGTTGAAGGGAGGGCAGAGGGAGTGGCGAGGTTGGTGGTGGTGGCGATGCTACTTGGAGTGACGCTGGATGCAGGAGGGATGGTGGTCGGAGCAACACCAAGAGGGGAAGGGGAGCGATTCGGTGTAACACCTAGGGCGGAAGGGGTGTCACCAGGAGTAACCCCGAGGGCAGAAGGGGTGTCACTGGGAGTAACCCCAAGGGCAGAAACTGCCATAGATGCATCAGCCGCGTTGCCCGGCATTGTATTCGCCCGCCTCACTTGCTGTGGCAGCTGCGTCTGCTGAGCCTGCTGGGCCTGCTGCGCGTGCTGCTGTGCTTGCTGTGTCTGCTCCATTTGCTCTGTCTGCTGCGTCTTCTGGTCCGCTCGGCTCTGCAGAGCCAGTTGCTGCTGCTGTTGCTGTTGCTGCAGGTGAAACGCGAGCTGGGCCTGCTGGTGCATGCGAAACACCTCCATCTGATCCATCTGCTGCTGCCGCATCACCGCATGCACGTCCTGCTGCTGCTGCACCACCTGCTGCCCCGCATGCTGCCCCGCGTGATGCTCTCCCTGCTGCCGCTGCGGCTGCATCGCTGCCACTACCGCCCCAATATCAGCCTCACCAGCAGGAGACCCCCTCCCAGACCTCAGATTACTAGACTCGACCATCTGCTGCCTCTGCTGCTGCTGTTGCTGCTGCTGCAGCTGAGCGGCCACTACAGCCCCAGCATCTGCTGCTTCGAGAGCAGGAGAAACCCTCCCAGGAATGGGAATAGGCGCGCCCAGGCGGGTGGAGGGGTGGTGGCGAGAGGCAGTGAGAGCACCATACGCCCTGGGGTTGCCTCGGCTGCCCACACTGCCGCCGCTGCTGGTACGAGTCACAGGGGCACAATCTGGCATGTGGAATGCCTTCGCTGCTGCTGCCGTTGCCACTGCGGCTGTTGCTGTTCCTGCTGCTGCTGCTCCTGCCATTGCTGCTCCTCCCGTTGCTGCTGCTCCTGCTGTTGCGAGGCTACCGGTGTGAGTGCTAGAATGCGGGATGGTGTGGCTGTTCGCGTGATTGTTGTTATTGCTGCTGCTGCTACTGCTGTCGTGCGCAGGCGCGCCCAAGGGGGAGAGCTGACGGAGAGGCCCAGGGGCAGAGTCCACTCTTGGCAAATGACAGTCAGCAGTGCTGCCTGTGCTGCTGTTGCCCACACTGCCATCTCTTGCCATCCCTGCAGCCACAGCAGCAGCAGCAGCGGAAGCACTAGGGGCAGCAGCACCAGTGGTGGTCCCAGTGCGTGTGTCCGCAGGAAATGCCTTATCTGGAGAAACCATTCCTGCCTGCTTCCCTCCTGCCTGCTGCTGCTGCTGTTGCTGCTGCTGCTGTTGCTGCTGGTGCTGCTGCTGCTGCTGCTGCTGCTGCTGCTGCTGCTGCTGCTGCTGCTGTTGATGCTGTTGCAGCTGTGTGTGCTGCGCCCTCAGCATCTGCTGGTACACATTCCACTGCGGCCCCTCCCCATGGCCGCCCGGTCCTCCCGAACCTGTCGCCGAGTCTGTTCCCAAGCCTGGAAGCATCCCCTGGCTCGGAAAACCGCCTGCCGCAGCAGCATTAGTACCCATGGTGGTAGGAGTTGTGGAGAATCCGGGAAGCGAGGAAGTGCCTGTGCTATGGCTGTCAGTGGGACTGGAGGAGAGATGGGTGAGAGCGGGGGCACCAACAAGAGACGAAGAAGCTGGGAAACCGCCTATGCCTCCCATGCCGCCCATGCCGCTACCGAATCCGCCCATGCCGCCACCGAATCCGCCCATGCCGCCACCGAATCCGCCCATGCCGCCCACTCCGACCATGCCGCCCATGCCGCCCATGCCACCCATGCCACCCATGCCGGCCATGCCACTCAACCCACCCATGCCACCCATGGCATTCATGCCACCAGCGCCAGCTACCCCACCCATACTACCACCCATGGGGCCCATACCACCCATCGCACCCATGGGACCCATGGGACCCATGCCACCCATGCCACCCATGCCACCCATGCCACCCATGCCACCCATGGGACCCATCCCACCCATGCCACCCATCCCTCCTAACCCATTCACACCGCCTACCGTTCCCCAGGGTGAAACCACACCAGCAGGAGAGACAGCACCAGCAGCAGCAACAGCGGAGTCACAGATACTGGTATAAGCAGAGCGGGAGGGCGGGGAGAGAGGCGGGCTCTGTGTGGGCGAGCTGAGGGCGCTAGAAACTTGAGATGAACCCCCTGTTCCCCCTCCCCCGCCTCCCCTACCAACATCCGCAGCAGCAGCAGGACCAGCAGCAGTGCCATCGGACCCGCTACCACTGCCAGCCCGTGGCAGATATCCCTGGCCCTGCTGAGCCTGCTGTGACTGCTGAACCTGCTGGGCTTGCTGGGCGTATTGAGCCTGCTGTGCCTGCTGAGCCTGCTGTGCCTGCTGCTGCGCCGGGAAGGCTTGCAGGGGCGGCTGAGCCCGCTGCGTTTGCTGGGCAGGATAATGGGGAGAGGGAGCTTGGCCATATGGGGAGGGGTGTGAGGGCTCGGCGCGCTGGGATTGCTGCTGGGGGAGAGGAGGGTTGTAGCGGGCGGAGCGCGAGGGCAGGTTGGGAGGAGGGCCGGCGGCGCCTGGCGCTTCTCTGACCTTGCGGCCGCCCTGCACGACAATGAGCGTGCATGTGTCTGGTAGGTGGCCGCTGCAGTAGTCCGGCACTTGGGATGACTTGCCAAAGAGCTTCCTGAGAGAAGGGGGAGAGAGTGGGAGAGAAGGCATGGGCGAGAGGGCGAAAGAGAGGGAAAGCATGACAATTGTAATCTCGATAGAGCATTTCAGTTGTCTGGTAGGTGGCCGCTGCAGTATTCAGACACTTGGGACGACTTGCCAAAGAGCTTCCTGGGATGGGAGAGTGGGCGAGAGGGAAACCGTGATACTTGTTAGAATCCGGTAAAGCATCTCACGTGGGAAGCCATGCAGTACAGTTTCCTGGGACTAGATGGAGTGGTTTGAAGGTTTGAGGGTTATATGAAGCGAGGAGAGGAAGAACGAGTGACAGGGAGGGAGATTCTTGGGTGGGTTGAGAAGTTTATGGACGGGGGAGAGCAAGCCAGTGTCATTGATTCGTGGAAAGGTGTGTGCACCCATGGCACGGGGCTAGCTGCAACGTGCCTTCATGCGCAAAACCGCTCAGAACTACACGCAACCACTCAAAGTCACTTAGAAACACTCAGAACCGTTTGCACAGCCTGCGCAAGATGGACTGGTGTACTATGAGCTGCGCACGCACTTTTTGGCGCCGATGTAGAGACGGGTCGCCTGAAGAAGGTTGCCAGCGAACCAGCCCCTCCAGACTAAAAGCACGCCTGAACCACACAGAACCACTCAGAACCGTTTTTTCGCAATTGGTACCGTACGCACTTCTTGGCGCCGATGTAGAGGCGGGTGGCTTGGAAGGAGGTTGCCACGTGGACCAGCCCCTCCTCCCGCCTATCATTCTTCTCCACGTGCATGGCTGCTGGTATCTGCCATGGGTGACGCATGGTGTAGGGAAGTCGCGCCAAAATATGGTAATTACCGTTCGAGATGAGTTCTACATGTAATTCAGCAAAAAGTGCCGTGGCAACATGTCATATCCAAATAATGTGTCTTATTTCTTATCCCCTACGTGACATCACGCCATGCCATGTCAACTTTCAAGAAGTCGAGGATTTTATGGACAAGGCTGATCAAGGCACCCAAAAAAATGGAGTGGAAAAAAAAAAATGGAAAAAATGGTGTCTCAGATGCTCGTGTTCGGAGAAGCTTTTGAAAGGCTCGAGAAAGTTCTTAAAGATGCTGTCTCCATCTGATGCATCAGCCGACTGCAGTTTTTTGAAGTAATTCGGCCTTAAAAACGTTGTGGAAGCTCACATGCTTGCGTTTGGAGAAGGTCTTGAAGGGCACGAGGATGTTCTGGAAGATGTTGTTCTCCGCCTGCTGCAATTTCAAATGGTCAGAATGGCTCGACTTAGAAAACACAAATGCTCACATGCTTGCGTTCGGAGAAGGTTTTGAAGGGCACGAGGATGTTCTGGAAGATGTTGTTCTCCGCCTGCTGCAGCGACCGCGCGTCCGCCTGCGAGATCGGGAGCTCGCCACCCGCTGCGAGGAGTAGCGTATGAGAGGAAAGCGTGAAAAGGAGTATGAGGGGGTGGGAACTTTTTAGACGTTTTAAAAGACTTGCATGCGAGATCGGGAGCTCGCCACCCGCTGCGAGGAGTAGCTATGAGAGGAGTATGAGGGGGGAAAACATTTGAGACGTCTCAAAAGCCGTGCGTCCGCCAACGAGATCCGGAGCTCGCCACCCGCTGCGAGGAGTAGCGTATGAGAGGAAAGCGTGAGGAGGATTATGGGGAAGGGATAGGGGGAGGGGGAGATGGAGGCGGTGCTAAGAGTAAAGGTGGTGCATTGAGAAGAATGGTTGAATGGAGTAGCGGAAATTAATGATGAGGGTGAGCATCTGCCTGCTACTAACGCATATGGAGTCGTAGCAGATGCCATGTCATGAGCAGACACGTCAGCAACAGACATGTAAGCGATAGACACGAAAGCTAGTGCCACCTAAGCGCAAGATCCGTCGACGAAATGCATGGCGGAACGGCGGATGGAAAGCTGCAGAAACAATGGAACGAGGACGGGAACTGCAGATTTTTCGGGTCATCGCCGCTTAACTGGATGACGGGACGGCGGTCAAGACGGAAATAAGGTTGAAAGCGACGCGGAAGGCGCATTGATGCGCGTCTTCGATGGCGAGGACCAGCTCGTCCTTGCTGACCTCCTTTCGATTCGCCTCAGATTTTCAACTTACTGGGCGACGGGACTGCAGTCAAGACGGAAACGAGGTTGAAGGCGACGCGGAAGGCGCATTGATGCGCGTCTTCGATGGCGGTGAGTAGAACGTCCTTGCTGACCTCCTTGTCGCGTACCACCTCCACCACCCACACCGCCACGTGGCCGCGGCTCGTCCCCTTCGCCAGGCTGTGCATTGCCACGTCACTGGTTGCGTCACGCCGTGAAGAAGCACTAAGTTCCCTTTTCTCTCTTCCAATGACTATGCTGTGTTTAGAGTCCAGTTAGATTTTAAAGCTCCTGGGTCAATGGGTCTCTATGATGCTCATTCTAGCCTCGCTACGACACGGGGTGCTGACTCACTGTTTCGTCTTCAGTGGCATTGTTCAGCAAACTAGCAATATGGACAATGCGACCACTCGAAGGCAGCCGAAAAGACCTAATCTACTCCCGAGGGTATACGCCAGCCAGAGCAGACGTGACGTCACATGATCGACGATGCTGCTTCGCGAGTAGATTAGGAAGCAGGTGCCATGGATGGACTAGCGACAATACAGCACCATGGGTGCATGCTGCTTTGAAATATGGTCGCCAAAACATGAGTTTCAGGGGGAATCCAGCGGAGGAGGAGAGAAGGCGAAAGGTTGACGGCAATCTCGAGGGGGAAGACCTTTCAGGAAGGCCCGAACCTCGGGATTGCCAAGGCGGGAAAAGATCTTGTGGTTCGAATGTGCGTGTGCCCACCAACTGAATCTAGTTCCAAGCCTAGTCAAGAGGCACGGCTGAGGCAGAAAGGGGTTTGTTGGATGAGGTTGTGGGGGAGAGAAGTGGGGCCAACATCATAGACATGCAAATTAGTGTGGTAACCCTATCCAATGGTATGCAAAACCGTCTTACCTCTGTTTGCAAGTTATTGACATGCTGCCCTGAAAGCGCGTTCGTTTTTAATTCAAATTTGATCTTTACCGCGCTTGCCTTCGCGCTAAGACGTGATTTCTTCGGGCCAAGAAAAAAATAAAACCCGATCGGAAAGGGATGCGTCTTGGAGGCATCAACCCTGAAAACAATGTCCTTTCCCGTGTTTAGGGTTGATCCCTCCCAGAAATGCGTCCAGGTCCCTAGGGGTTTTATTGTTTTTCTGCCCTGCCCCTACATTTCCCGGTAGCAATATATTGGTCCAAATTAATGTTATCGAAATGGACCCCGTAGCCTTTCATTCCAGTGGATTTTTCGTCACATTTAGCGGAAAATAGTAGCCGGCAGGAATATTTGTTAGGCGCCGAACAAGACGCGGTAAGAACCACGACGATACGAAATCGAAAACGCAACTGATTCAATCACATATTTTCTTCCTTTTCTGTGCTGCGTCAGCTGTTACACAGTGTTTTGAGTGGCGCTACCAGACAATTTTGCGCAGCAGAACTGGGGTATCGACGGTTTTGCATACCATCGAATAGGGTTACCAGACTAATTTGCATGTCTATGATGTTGGCCCGAGAGGGGTGCATGGTGATCCTCACGAAACAGGCTTGGCTCGTCGAGTGTACAGTACCAACCAATACATCATGTACAGTAACAAAAGCCCTGCGGTTCCGACATCGATCGGATTTGTTCAAGCCTTGAGTGCTTCACTGTAATTCGACGTGGTGCGGTGCGGTGTTGCGTTTGGCGAGTTCACCGAGGACGCGGTACAATTTGGATCGCTGAGAACGCGGTGAGCCCTTAGGATCACAGAGATCCTTTCGAGCGGAGGGTTCGGATTTAACAAATGACCCTTTCGATCGAGGGTTCGGGAAAAAAAAAACAAATAGTTACAGTAACGGGTGGTTTATAAAATTTCAAAATGATCAAGACGGTACCTTGCAATCATTTGTCCGTACGAACACGCTATCTGAACCACACCGTTTTGATGGACTGCCCGTGGGTGAGTTAGGCATGCTGCCATAAATTGCAGAATCCAAGCCAAGGGCCAAGTCTGTCCGCTGCGACATTGACGGCAGGAAAACGAAGCGAGACTACTGCTTTCGTACTGTATGTCCGAAGTGTATCTCAGGTTTGAAGGCAAGATTACTGGTAACAGAAGACTGATGCCCCAAAAATGGGAGAAATACGCTCCGGGCAGAACGAACCTCGAGGTTGCGTTCATTCTTTAACTCCTCCCATGATCCCGTCCCAGTCGCATACCCCTGGCGGTGTTTCGGCAAGTCAACAGCAGTTCCGTTCATTCCTAGCAGACCTCTCCAATCCCTCCCTCACACGGTCTCGTTTTCGATTCCCGCGATAACAGCGTCAACGCATAACCGCCGTTCCCGCGCCGCCAGTCAGTTGCGTTGCGAGGCTCGGGTGGAGAGGAAATGGCGACTGCGGTTGCGCAGTTGCGCGGCGAGCACGGAAGCTTGTGAAACCGGCGTAGCGGGCGGTCAAGCCTCCTGCGGCTTACCAAATGCAGCAGCGCAATCAGCGGAAGCCTGTGATTTGCTCGGCGTGGAAGGGGTAGTAGTAGTAGGCTTGACCCGTGAACAACGGCTGCTAGTAGGTGCATACTGCGAGTATGATTGCGGCCTATAGGGCGTAGTGTGCATACGAGTTAAAGCTCGGGTTACGGGTTGAGTTACCACTCGGGTCTCGGGTTACAGCTCGTGTTACAACTCGGGTTACCAGCCATGGCGATACTCCCGTCTTGCCTTCTCTCTTCAGCCGCCCTTCCCACTCGCCTGCTGCCCAGCGTAATCGAAATTCAAGAATCCTGTTTCGCGCTCGTCTATAACGCGTACGGCCTGCGACTCGACCAATTCCACGTCGACAATCTCACGCTCGTCTCCTGCTGGGTCCCCGCTTCTCGCGGCGGCAAACCCGCCGCATCACCCGCCGTCTCTTCCGCCGCAATTCCCGCGAAACCGCCTCTGTTGCTCCTCCACGGCTTCGGCGCGTCGTCGTTAAACCACTGGATTAATCAGCTCGCCGCGTTTTCCCGCCATTTCGACCTCTACATCCCAGACCTGCTGTTCTTCCGCGGCTCGTACTCCCGCGATTCGCGGCGCGACGAGCGGTTCCAAGCGGAAGCGATGATCGCGCTGATGGACCGGCTGGGCATCCAACGGTGCGCCGTGGTCGGCGTGAGCTACGGCGGGATCATCGCTCACAAGTAAGTGAGTAAGCTGTCAAACGCGCTGTGCGTGCTGGTGGACTTTGGGGCAACACAGTAGTCACATCGGCGTGAGCTACAGCGGGATCTTTGCGCACAAGTAAGTGAGCTTAGCTCGCCAGATGCCGCTTACAAACAGGTGCCTTCTGATTTCACTGAAGAATTCGTCTCGGCATGAGCTACGGCAGGATCGTCACCCACATGTAAGTAAGCTCGCCAGGTGCCACTCTGCATGTGATTTCAGCCAGTAGCATTTGGTTTCCATGATGCAAGGCGTCCCCTGACCTCCGGTCCCTCCACTTTCCCACTATCCGTTCTTATGAGAATGGCAACCCTCTATCGTGCACGTGTCATGCACCTTTTGTCCCCCTCCCATCTCCCTCTCACCGTCCTCTATCTCGTCTCGTCCCTCCCTCCGTCAACTTTTCTCCCCTGCAGAATGGCTACCCTCTATCCCGAGCGTGTCGCCCAGCTAGTGCTGGGAGGGGCGGGGCTCATGCTGATGCGGGGCGTCCACTGCCCTCCTTGTCGCCTCCCTATCCCCTAATCCGTCTGCTTCAGAATGGCCACTCTCTTCCCCACGCGTGTTGTGTCACTCAGCTAGTGCTGGGAGGGGCGGGGCTCATGCTGACACAAGGCGTCCTCTGCCCCCACCTTTCTTCCTCCTTACACCCTGTCCCTCCCTTGCAGAATGTCCACTTTGTTTCCCGAGCGAGTCACCCAGCCAGTGCTGGGAGGGGCGGGGCTCATGCTAACACAAGGCAAAACTACGGAAGTCATCTCCCACCTTTCTTCCTCCTTACACCCTGTCCCTCCCTTGCAGAATGGCCACTTTGTTTCCCGAGCGAGTCACTCAGCTAGTGCTGGGAGGGGCGGGCCTCATGCTTACGCGGGACGAGGTGCAGGGGGTGCTGCAGCACTGGCACGCCAAAACGCCCCCGGACCTATTCCTGCCCACCGACCCTAGCGGCCTGCTTCGGCTGATCAGGCTTGGGAACAACGAGGCGCCGTACCTCCCGGATTGGCTGCTGCAGGACGCCTTAGAGGTATGTACGTCTGGGCTGTGATTGATTCGGAGTATGGAGTCGGACTCATGGCAGGGGTGTGCATGCTTGCATGCTGTGCTGCATACATGTATGGAATGAAATGGCTGGATGCAGAGTGGCTATCTTCTGAATGGCAGAGAGGAGCGAGTTGCTGCGGCGTGTGGCAGGGGAGGTAGTGCCTGCTCTGTCTTCACTCTCCCTCGCTGCCCTCTCCCTCATCTACACTCTCCCTCACTTGAACTCCCCCTCATGTATCGTGCCTGCCGGGGTGGCAGGCGCTGTTTGAAAACAGGGAGGAGAAGGCAGGGCTGTTGGTGGAGGCGTTAGCAGCATAATTGCCGTGCCTCATCTGTGCTGCATGCTCCCGTGTGTATTTATGTGCATGTGTGTGCATGTGTGTGCATGTGTGTGCATGTGTGTCGCAGGTGTTGTTTGAGAACAGGGAGGAGAAGGCAGGGCTGCTGGAGGCATCGTTGAGAGAGGCTCAGGCCAACGCACAGCACCCAGAAGGCATCTCTGTGCCATCAATGGTATGATCATCGGTGTAATGCAGTGCAATGCGGTGCAATGCGGTGGGCTGTTTGAGAACGGGGCGGAGAATGTGGGTCTGCTGGAGGCGTCGTTGAGAGAAGCACAGGCCATTGCAGAGCAGCCAGAGGGCATCGCTGTGCCGCCAATGGTAGGTGCTAAGCGGTGCAATGCGGTCCTGTGCTGGGGTGTTTGAGAACAGGGAGGAGAAGGCAGGGCTGCTGGAAGCGTCGTTGAGAGAAGCACAGGCCAACGCACAACACCCTGAGGGCATCCCTGTGCCATCAATGGTAGGTGCTGAGTGGTGCAATGCGTTGCAATACGGTCCCGTGCTGGGCCGTTTGAGAGAAGGTAAAGCTGCTGGAAGCGTCGTTGAGAGAAGCACAGGCCAATGCAGAACACCCAGAGGGCATTGCTGTGCCGCCAATGGTACGCTGAGCGGTGCAATGCGGTGCTATCCGGTGGTGTCCTGTCCAATGGCGTGCAGTGCAGTGCGGTGCGGTGCTATGAGGCGTGGTGCTATGAGGCGCGGTACTATGAGGTGCGGTGCATGGGGGTGATGTGTGCGGTGCGGGTGTCACGAGAGTCCATGCTAAGTGAAGAGAATCTCTCACTTTCTTTCCCTTGCAAGGTTCATGCGGGTGCGGTGCTATGAGGTGCGGTGCCTGGGCTCACCTCAGCTCTTGAATTGCAAAGTTTGCGATGGCTCTCACATCACATTTCAGAATTCTCAAAAGCTGCTCACCAAACCTCCTGGCTGCAACATTTGAATGCTCGCCTGTGTTTCTCCTCTCCCCACCCTTCCCCTCCTCTTTTTTGTGTCTGCCCGCTCTCCGTTGTGCTGTATTGTGTTGTAACTTCTTCGCGTATCCACTCTCTCTCATTCATACCCCGCCCCACTTTTGAGGCGGCTCCAGAGTCATCTTTTGAGGCGCCTCAAATTTTGTGTCCGCTCTCCCTTGTGCTGTATTGGTGTTGTAACTTCTTTGCGCGTCCACCCTCTCTCATACCCCGCCCCACTCATATCACAGCCCACCTTGCTTGTGTGGGGAGGCAGTGACCAGCTCTTCCCTCTTGCCATCGCCCATCGCATGCACCAGTGAGCCTCCCTCCCTATCCCTTTTGAGTCGACTCAAATGCAGACTCCCCACCCCACCCATGTCACAGCCAACCCTGCTTGTGTGGGGAGGCAGCGACCAGCTCTTTCCCCATTGCCATCGCCCATCGCATGCACCAGTGAGCCTCCCTCTCTCTCCCTCTCTCACCCACTCCCTCTCTTCCCCTCCCTCTCTGTCACTCCCCCCCCGACTCCCTCCCTCTCTCTGTCCTCTTATCTTTGCAAACCGTGTGCACACGCGCACACGCACGTATGCACACATGCATTCACGCACGAACATGCATAGCATACAGGCACACGCACTCGCACACACACACGTTTGAATCTCCATCCCCATTCCAGCTTTTGCCCTGCCCACGTTCCTCCCCTCTTCTACCTCCATCCCTCCCCACATTTCCCCTTCCCACCTTCCCCCTCTCCACCTTCACCCACCCGCCCATTGCTCGCACACATGTTTCCCTTCTCCCTCTTCCCCCAATCTGGCACTTCGGCTCGTCCTGTCGCTTCTCTCGTCTTCCCATCTTCCCCCTATTCACCTGCGCCCCTTCTCATTGCTCATACGCATATTTTTGCCTTACTCCATCTTCCCTTCTCCCTCTTCCCCCAAGCAGGCACTTCGGCTCGTCCTGTTGGCTTGAGGTCATCGAGAAGGGCGCTCATGCCATTCAGGTGTGCTGAGCGGTGCTGAGGGGTGTGTATGCTGTACGGAGGGGTGAGGGAGTACTTGGGCATTGGGCAACATATCATGCCGAGTCCTCTTCTCCATCTATCTCTGTCCTCCTCTCCACTGCTCCTCCCTTTTACTTCTCCTGACCTCCATCTCTCCTTCGCTCGACTTACACATCCCCATGCAATCTCCCACGGTGATCTCATGCCATTTGAACCCCTTTCCATGCTCCTTCAACCCCTTCCCATGCTCCTTCAACCCCTTCCCATGCTCCTTCACCCCTTTCCATGCTCATTCGACCGTTTCCCACGCCCATCCTGGCAGGCACACAAAGCAGCAGCGTTCAACAGCTCCGTCCTCTCCTTCCTCACCCACCATCAATGACACCAACCATCGCAAGTGCCATCATTGCTACTCCTCACTCGAGTACCAACAGCAGCACAGTTCAACAGCTCCGTCCTCTCCTTCCTCACAGAGCATCAGTGACACAAGTGCCATCATTACTGCTCCCCGCGCGAGAGTCAACAGCAGCACAGGTCAACAGCCCTGCCCTCTCCTTCCTCACCCACCATCAGCGACAGCAACCATCGCAAGTGCCATACTTGCTGCTCCTCACTCCAGTACCAACAGTAGCACATGTCAACAGCGCTGTTCTCTCCTTCCTCACCACGCAGCTTCAGTGACACAAACCGCACCGGCACACACCAGCCCGAGATTGCTCCAACCCAATCAGGTATGTTGCACCTGCACCTGATTGGATGAGAGGCAATGCTCGACTTCTCTCATGCTCTTTCTACCGGTATCAGCACAAGGGAAGAAAATGCATCTCATTTGTCATATCATTACAATACAAAAAAAAATACACAGTAAACAGTACACAGTGAAAGAGCAACACAGAAAGCCCTTATACCACTAGGTAGTATCACCACATAAAACCCAACTACCCACTTCACCCCCCACCTCAGCCCCCTCTGAATCTCCCTGCACAACTTTCCAGGGTTCTTTGCCACTCACTGACGCTTCTTTGCCTTTTCAAACTGCCCACGCACAGCACCGTCAGGGTATGCCACGGTGTGAATGTTCGCACAGAACGCACTCGGATTCGCCAAAATTGCCTTGAGGGTCGACACAAGGGTCGGTGTCAGTTCCGCCGAATTCTTCCCGAGCACGCCGTTGCATAGATAGATATTCATGTTCTCTTGCCATTTGTATTCGCACGGCAGGTCCAGCACCTTGGGACCGTTCGATCCCGCTGCTGCGTTGTGTACATGCGTCTGAATCGGCGACATCTCGCCTACCAGGCCAAAAGCAGATGCTTCGTACTCTAGCCACACAGGCTGGCCGTTTCTCCTGAACATTACAAGTAAGAAAAACTAGGGTTAGTCTCGACTCGACGACATAATATTGGGGTTTATCTTGAAGACGCTAGCAGTGTGCATGGCATGACCGAGTTGAGCTTCAAACGATGGAAGAAGACGCTCAGAGCACGCATTGAAGCTCCCTGTTACTAGTAGAACTGCGGAATTCAGGCCTGACAAGCTCACTTGTAGATTTTCAGATCAATGTGCCCGGCTCCGTTTGGGTCGTTGACGGCTTTCCTGGCAGCTTCAGAGTCATTCTTGGGAACCTCGTAGTCGCCATACAGGCTGGCAGCAACGGTGTCTGTTGAAAGAGAAACCGAGGGGAGAGGGGGAGAGGAGGGAAGATTAAGGTGGAGGGGGAGGCGAGGTGAGGGAGGAGGGGGAGGGGGGGGGAGGGGAGGAGAGGAGTGGGGGGTTGGGGGAGGAGGGGGGGGAGGAGCGGGGGGTTGGGGGAGGAGAGGGGGGGAGGGGGGGGAGGGGAGGGGAAAGGGAGGAGTGGGAGAGGATGGTAGAGGTGGGACAATAAAAGAAAAAGCGTCAGTTCAGGTTGGAAAGTCATTCGCTTTCAGTGGACTTAAGCTGTTGGTAAAAGGAAATATTATTTGGTATGCAACGAGGAATTGCGAACTTACCAAAAACAGCCGGAGTAGGTTTTCTGGGAACAGGTTTCTTTCTGGCGTAGGCAACCGCCACCAGCGCCGCCGCAAAGAACGCTGCACGAAGCACACACACGACGACAGGCGAAGATAGCGATTGGGTTACAACGCCTGGTTAGGGGCTGAGAGGTTTGGATTGAGCTGGCAAGCAATGAGTTAGGAGTGGGCCGGCATTGGTGTTGCGGACTCACGGCAGAGGTAAGGCTTACCAAACAGTAAGACGGAACGAGCACGAACGAAGGCCATGAGGTGCCGAAAGTCAACTGGAAATCGGGTTGCAAGAGGGAGCAAGTTACTGCTTCTAGGAAAAAGGTTAAACGAAATGTGGGACTGTATAGGTTCGTAAGGACTGGAATCACCCTTATTTGTGGTCGCGTTGTGGCTCAAGGATGGAAGGACCAGAAAAACAGGCCATTACGGCTGAAGGTGGAAATCGACGGACGGGATGATTGGAGTGAAGGTATCTCAGCCGGACGATAACTCAAGTTCAAACTCGGAGATAAATCGAGGCGCATCAGGTGTTGTCGCGAACCATCAATAAGACGGACGAGCGCATCTGTCGGAATGGCATTTAGCGTCAAATCTTAATTCGTCATTCTTGCTAACGCCTGTGAACTACTGAACTCCGGCCTGTTATTGGCTGCAACCCAATAATAGCAGCCCCAAGAAAAAAGAGGCGAGCTACGATTGGCTTCCGGGAAAGCTATAATGCAGTGTGACGCCTTCGTGAAGCTCGCTGGGGTCAATCGTTTTTCTGGCTGACCAAGCCATTGCGGGAAGAAGCATAGTGAAGCAAACGGGGAAAGGCTACTTGGGGATTCGAGCCTCAACGACTCTCCACACGGCAAACCCTGGTTCTGCTTCTCTACCCCTTGGGAACGTAACGCACCAGAACAGACCGAGGTACAGCACGTGAATTGTGATTCATTTCGTGGTGCACCCCACCCCACTTCTTCGCCTACAGAAGCGATGCAATTCGGTTCTCGAGTTTCACCTTGTGTGCTGTGCGATGCAGCGGAAGTTGAGACGATCAAGATGCGGTAACCGTGCGAGGTCGATTACCGAGCCTGTCAAGATAACGTGTCGCTAGCTGTCCCTGGTCGTCATTGTCTTCAAAAGCTTGAGGCTTGGGAATAGGCTGGGCGTTTCTTCCGGAACCTGGGCACTAACGCGGATGCGACTGACAGCGACACATCGCAAACACTTCAGAGTTGCTTATGAAATTTGTCGATTAAGGGATGATAGGATAGTCACACATAGCAGAGAGGCACAGAACGAGAGGAATGTGGAGCTCAGTGGAGCGGAATGATGGCGGGTGTTATCTGGTACGGATTTCTTAGAAGTGGTCATATCATTACAACAGCCAATACGCAGCAACAAATACACACAAAAAACCAACACCACAGACCAAGCTACCATACTTCCCTTCCTCCAAATTCTCGTTCACAGCTTTCTCCAGGGTTCTTCCTTAGCTATTCAATGGAGAGCTTAGATCAACTTCACCCACTAAACCTTTCGAATCTGCCCACGCGCTGCGCCGTCAGGATACGCCACCGTGTGAATGTTCACATAGAACCCACTCGGATTCTTTGAAATTCCCTTGAGAGTCGACACAAACGACACTGTTCGTTCCGTCAAATCCTTCCCAAGTGAGCCGTTGCATTTCCAGAGAATGCCATCATCTTTGGTTTGATATTCGCATGGCAGATCCAACACCTTGGGACCGTTTGATCCCTCTGTTGCGTTGTGCACATGCGTCATGGTCGGGGGCACCCCACCCTGCAAGAAATAAGCTGCCACTCTGTACTCGAGCCACACTGACTTGCTGTTTTTCCTGCAATAGGGGGTTAATCGCGGAACACGTTATTACAGAGTTTAGTGTGCATCATCTGACAGGATGAAGCTTTCAATTACGGAAGGAAACGCTCGGTGTCATCAGAGCACCAGGGGGGATTACATGACAGAATTATGCTTTCAACTAGGCATCCTCTCTGTTAGAACAGAGGGGAATTCAGGCCTTACACTCACTTGTAGATAATCAATCCCATGTCCACCGATCCGTATGGGTCGCCGACAGCGTTCCTGGCAGCTTCAGTGTCATTCTTGGGAATCTCGAGCACGCCAGACAGGGTGGCAGCGAAGGCGTCTGTTGAAAGAGCAACCGAGGGAAGTGGGGGAGAGGAGGGAAGATCAAGGCGGAAGGGGAGGAGGGGAGAAGGGCAGGTTAGGGTGGTGGGAGGGGATGGTGGAGGTAAAATTGGAGCTTTGACGATGAGACATAAAGAGAGAGGGTGAGTTCGGTTGGAACAGTCGCGCGCCATTGGAAATTCGAATTGACATTGGAATCCGCGGTGGGCATAAGATGTTCATAAGTGGGAAATATTTTTGGGTACGCAAACGCGGATTTCCGAACTGACCAGAAGAAAAGGGAGAGACTTTTCTGGAAGCAGGTTTCTTTTTGGCGTAGGCGACCGTCACAAGCGCTGCCGCAAGGAACGCTGTGCGAAGCACACACAAGACAAGAGGCGAAATTAGCGATTGGGTTTCAATGCCTGGTAGACAGCTGGCAGCCAATGGGTTTGGAGTGAGCATTGGTGTTGCGGACTCACGTCAGGGGAAACTCTTACCAAGTAGGAAGACGCAGCGAGCACGAAAGGAGGCCATGAGTTATTGCTTCTAGTATTAGGTAATGGAATGCAAAAATGAATGGGAATCAGGGGCTGGGATTACACTCAATTATAGTCACGCTGAGGCTCGGGGATAGAAGGTGGAGGTTGAACCCATGAAGGTATTTCAATCTCTCACCCGGAGGTGAATCGAGACGCATCGAACCAACAATAAGACGGGCGAGCGGGAAAGTCGGATGGCATTGCCGTCGAATAAGAAATCGTCATTTTCTCTAGTTCTGATCTACGGCCCGTTATAAGCCGCAGCTGAATGAAAGCAGCTCTAGGCGAGAAAAGAGAGGCGAGCTACGATAGGCTAATCCGAAAAAGGCTACTATAATGCAGCGTGACGCGTTCATGAAGCTCGCTAGAGCTGATCATTTTTGTAGCTGGGCCACGGCACACAGCAGGTAGCGGGAAAGCGAACGAGGAAAACCAAGCCGTTGAGGTGCAGTAGGTTTCAAAACGGTATAGTACGGTTTTTTATGTCAAACCGATTTTGAACGTAACGCACCAGAACAGACCGAGGTCCACAGTTGGTGAAATGATGGGCCAATGCTGTATCCCTTCTGCTTCTTCTTCGCCCATTGCAGCGGTGCACTTTGGTTCCCGATTTTTCCACGTTTGCGCTGTCGAGGGCGGACCAGCTGTCTGACCCAATCAGTGCCCGCCAACGCTTGAGGCGAGAAACACGACAGCTTGGTAACATTTTCGTCAATTCGTACGACGTACAGTCGTTTCGTTCCCCTATTGGTTCCTGAGTCCAGACCTACAGACCACACAGCCCAAAAAATAGCAGTTCGTGTCTGGTTACCCGTAGCGACGGCGAATCAGCATAAAGCCGTCGTTCTGGCACGTTGCGAGGCTCCAGTCGGGTGAGAGAGGACATGGCGACTAGGATTGCGCTGTCGAGCGTCGAGCACGGAAGCTCGTGAAGGAGGCGGAGCCGTCCGGCAGAAAGCTTTCTGCCACCGCAAGCCCGGAAGCCCGAAAGCTCACTCATTCCTGCAGTATAAGCCATTGTGTTGTCGTAGGGTAATAATGATTGTAACACGCAGGCTAAAGTGCAGGAGTGCAAGTGGCGGAAGCCTATGTATTATTATTGGGCTTGTAAAATAAGACTTTCGCCACGCGCTTGGAAGTATAAGTTGACTTTTGAGTCCACTCAAAAGGCGCTTGGAAGTATAAGTTCAATCATCGATCGATTTTTTCTTGAAGTGAAGGCCGTTGCGATGTCGCGGGTGCATTGGCGAAAAGGAGAAGAGCGATTGTGATTCGTAGTCTCGAGGGCCACTGAATGCAGGAGCGCAAGCAGCGGAAGGCTGTGGCATGGTAGGCTTTAAAGGGATTATTTTCTTCATACTTCGTTAGCAGCCTGACCCGTGATCAACGGCTGCTGTGCGGTGCAACATGTGCATGCATGGGTGTGCATGGGTGTGCATGGGTGTGCATGGGCGCACGGCAGGTGTTGTTTGAGAACAGGGCGGAGAAGGCAGGGCTGCTGGAGGCGTCGTTGAGAGAAGCACAGGCCAACGCAGAGCAGCCAGAGGGCATCGCTGTGCCGCCAATGGTAGGTGCTAAGCGGTGCAATGCGGTTATGTGCTGGGTGTTTGAGAATAGGGAGAGAAGGCAGGGCTGCTGGAGGAGTCGTTGAGAGAAGCACAGGCCGACGCAGAACTTCCGGGGGGCATCGCTGAGGGAGCTGTCCGGTGGTGTGCTGTGAGGTGCGGTGCTGTGAGGTGCAGTGCATGGGGGGCATGTGAACCGCGGGGGTTAGCAGTTTTCGTGCTGAGTGACTATCCATTTTTGCTTCCTTTCTCTTGAAAGGCCTCTTTATCACACCTCACCGCTCGCATCACATAGCCTGTCATGTCACATTTTATGATTCTCAAAAGCAACTCCTGGTTGCAATGTCTGAACACCCATCTCTGCCTTGATCCCTCCTGATTCTCCCCCCCACCGCGTTTCACTTCCGCTTTTTTTTTTTTGCCCGCTCGCCCTTGCGATGCTTTCTTTTCAAATATTCTGTTGTGTTGTGTTCTCGCTCCCGCTCACTCCTTCCTCCCTCCCTCCCTCCCTCCCTCCCTCCCTCCCTCCCTCCCTCCCTCCCTCCCTCCCTCCCTCCCTCCCTCCCTCCCTCCCTCCCTCCCTCCCTCCTCCCTCCCTCCCTCCCTCCCTCCCTCCTCCCTCCCTCCCTCCCTCCCTCCCTCCCTCCCTCCCTCCCTCCCTCCCTCCCTCCCTCCCTCCCTCCCTCCCTCCCTCCCTCCCTCCCTCCCTCCCTCCCTCCCTCCCTCCCTCCCTCCCTCTCCCTCCCTCCCTCCTCCCTCCTCCTCCCTCCCTCCCTCCCTCCCTCCTCCCTCCCTCCCTCTCGCTCCCTCCCTCCCTCTCCCCTCCCTCCCTGTCCCTTTCCCTCCCTCCCTCTCTCTTCCCTCTCTCACTCCCTCCTATTCTTGCACACCTCGCGTGCACATACACATGCACACACTCTCTCACGCACACACGCACGCATGCATGCAGGCATGTATTCACGCACGCATGCATGCACACATGTATTCACGCACGCATGCATGCACGCATGTATTCACGCACGCATGTATTCACGCACGCATGCATGCACACATGTATTCACGCACATGCACACGCAGCAGCTCAAGCACTCAATGGCCTCACTTCAATCTCCCCGCCTCTCCACCTTCCCCCCTCTCCACCTTCCCCCTCTCCACCTTCCCCCCTCTCCACCTCCCCGCCTTTCCACCTTTAATACACCTTTCGTTTCTCCATTTCTCATCCTCTCTTCCCGACCAGGGGCTTCAGTCTGCTCGTCCTGTCACCTTGAGGTAATTGAGAAGGGCGCTCATGCCATTCAGGTGTGCTGAGCGGTGCCACAGGGTGTATATTCTGTGGTGAGGGGATGTATCCGGTGCTGAGGGGTGTATACGCTGTGATGAGGGATGTGTATGCGGTGCGGAGGGGTGCATTTGCTCTTATGAGGGGTTCCCCATTATCTGTGCGTGCATGGTGAGGGGTGAATGAAAAGGCCCCTCATGCCAGGTGTGCTGAGGGGTGTGGAAGGGTGTACAAGCTGAGATGAGGGGTGTGCGATGGTCTGTGTGTGCAAGCATGTATTTGATGACTTGTCAATCTCCATCTCTCCTCCCCCTGTGTGCCACATCCCCATGCAATGCCGCACCGCACATACCATGCCTGCTCAAGCCGTCCCACCACTTTCAACATCCCATTTTGAACCTCCCAAGCACTTTCAACCCCTTCCCATGCCCATCCTGGCAGGCAGACAAAGCAGCACAGTTCAACAGCGTCGTTCTCTCCTTCCTCACCACGCAGCATCAATGGCATCAACCCTCAGCTGCTGCCGTTCCCATTCAGCGTCAACTGTCCATTAAACCGCACCGTCCTCTCCTTCCTCGCCACGCAGCATCAGTGACATAAGCTATCTCAAGTGCCAACCTTGCTGCTCCCCATTCGAGTGCCTGCCAACAGCCGCTACTCGGGGCGAGATACGGTAAGATTTGTATCATATATTATCTTGCAATGCATTTAAACCCACTCGGGCACTCCCAACACATGTTGGTCTCTACAAAATTATACTTCATGCCTGCCCGGTATGCCCTCCCTTCCCAGTACCCTGTTCCATCCTTCTTCCCGTTTGGTTCTCGTACAAATGTACCGTACTTGTTTTTTTCTTTTCTCCATCTTGTTCGCCGCTTTGGCTTGTGTGTGGCACGGGGGGAGCAGGAGTAGGACACAAGGAATGGATTGGAATCGAAGCATCAAGGCAGGCGACAAGAGCGAATAGGGCAGGGACAGGGGCAGGGAACAGCAAACAGGGTTACATAGAACAGAGAACAGGAGGTACCAGCCAGTTAGGAGCTTCATCAGCAGGGAAAGTCTGTTGGATGAGGAGGGAGGATACATAATCAAAACAGGAATGATACTTTTTTTGGGGTGCTTGTTTTGGCTATGTCGAAGGGAATGAAAAATATCTGTTGTCATTGTAAGAACAACAATTCATAGGAACACAGCAAAAATAAGGAAAAACACAGCAACCAAATTAGCATCCCACAAATTCCTACCCCATAGACCCAACTACGCACTCACATCATTCCCACTGATCTCCTTTCCTTACGCCTTGAACACAACCAGGATACCTCGTGACTCCCAGTCAACTTCTCCCAAGAGCTTTTACTTCTACTAGCAACCCAAAAAAGCTTCAACTGCTACACTTCTTGAAGCTGGTCGCGCACTGCGCCATCAGGATAGTTGGCAGTGTGAACATTCCCATAAAACATCCATGGAGTCTCCGAAATCGCCTTGAGAACCGACACAAACGTTCTAGTCCGTTCCGCTGGTTTCTTGCCTAGCGTGCCATTGCAATGCCATGCCTTGTTCTCTGTCAAGTACTCGTACTTGCAAGGCAGATTCAATACCAAGGGACCGTTTTCTTCCGCTGGTGCTTTGTGCACATGCGTCATGGTCGGCGACGCATTGTCCACCATATCGAAAGCCCACGTTTCGTACTCGAGCCACACAGGCTGGCCTTTTCTCCTGAATATCACGCATCAGTGAAACGGGGGTTAATATCGGGGACATCATAAGGGGGTTACCGCTGTGCATCACAGGACAGGGTTGAGCTTCTAACATGGCTCCAAACATGGAAGAAGAGGTTCGCTATCAAAAGAGCACCCATTGGCTCTCCTCTGTTAGAACTGCGGAATTTAGGCCTGTAGATTTCAGGCCTGACAGACTCACTTGTAAATTTTCAATGTCATGTCCGTCACGCCGGTTGGGTCCCCGACGTTCGTGCCAGCTTGGGAGGCATCCTTGGGAATCTCATTGATGCCATACAGCATTCCACTGATGGTAACTGTTGAAAGAGAAAGCGAGGGGAGAGTGGGAGGAGGGAAGGTCACGAAGTGAGGGAGGAAAGGGCAGGGATGGGAAGGGACGGTGGCGCTTGGTGGTGAGGCATTCGCACGGAAGGCATCTGCTGGGTGAGACTGAGAGAGAGGGTGAGTTCAGGTTGGAAAGTCATGCACCAAAGTGTATGATTGAAATCCATGGCGAAAGGTGAGGCGTTTTCCGAGGTTTCTTTATACATGGGTGTGTATTTCGGGTATGGGAACGTGGAATTTCTCCAAATTTGGAAACAAATATGAGAGTTGATTGGGACTGACCTGGGTTCAATGAGTGGGCAATCGACACCAGCGCCGCCGCGAGGAACGCTGCCGAAGCACACACACGACGAGAGGCGAGATTAGCGATCGGGTGAGCTGACAAGGAATGAGCTGGCATTGTTACGAATTCCCGCCTGGAGTAACGGTTATCGGTTAGTATCGCTTAACTAAGGGTAACGCTCAACTGATAGTAATGCATACCAAATAGTAAGACGCGGCGAGTACGAATGTTAGCCATGAGTTAAAGAGTAGTCAACTCAAAATCGTTCGTAAGAGGAACAAGTGACTGCTTCTAGTGAAGAGGTAATAGGAATGCAGGATACTTCTGGGTGGGTTTCTAGGGACTAGAATTACCTTCTTTTATAGTCACGTTGCGGTCCGAGGATGGAGGAACCGGAGAGACCAGCGTTACTACTGAAGGTTGAGAGTGACGGACGGGATGATAAGAAATTCCACGAAGGCATCTCAGCCGGCCGACGATTCAAAGCTAAACTCGGAATCAAGGCGCATCGGATCATATTACGCGAACCATCAATAAGTCGGCCGAGCGCATAAGTCGGAATGGCATTGGAGACGAATAAAAAATCGTCATTCTTGTCGGCCTGGGCTTGTGATTTGTCAATAGCAGCTCCAGGAGAGAAAGCTGCCGTGTGACGCGTTCATGAAGCTCGCTGGAGCCAATCATTCTTCAGGGCAAGCCATGGGGTAAGGGCGTGGAACATTTTTACGACCACGCCAAATGGTCGGAGAGATGGTTGTTCCTGGCGATTGCGAAGAATTTAAGGAAACCCCATTGACTGGCATGCATAGTAGTCACCCTGAATTGACCAAAAATCATTGGGATTTCAGGTAAGTATTTAGGGCCCTCACTGCCACTTATCCATTAGATAGGGAACATTGTTTTACTTCCAGTATTTACCCCCGATTGTGTTTGCCTAACGCTCCACTCATTTCCCGCTCCCCCCTGTAGCCCACACCCCTTTCGAATGCTTCAACTGTCCTCTTATGTTTCTGCTTAGTGGGGGGTGGTTTTTATTGGGTGCCCCACGTGCTGGCGAGCAGAATAGCTTAGAAATTTCGCACTTCGCATCACTGTTACACCCTTCGCTTTCGCCAGACACAACCATATGGTCGACAACTCGGCGTGGTCGTAAAAATGTTCCACGCCCTAAGCGGAAAATGAAGCACGAGGTGAAGCGAATGAGGAAAATGAAACCGTTGAGGTGCAGTGAGTTTTCTACACGGTAACAACTGGTTCCGGTTTTTTACCACTTTTTAAGGTTATCCGCCCGAACAGACCGAGGTACCGTGTGTGAATGTGATTCGATGGTGCTTCCCCTTGCTTCTTCGACTTCAGGTCGTGTCCGTAGGGATGACATGTCAAATGGGCAGTGTCAATTTGGCATTTTGACACTCAGCCAACATTGTTGGCAGAGTGTCAAGAAATTACAGGTTGCCAGCCAATACATATCGTCGGACACTTCCTGTTTTGGCACAATCATACCTACAAACGAGAGAAGAGAGTCGCAGCTGCATATCTCGCGACCAGGCATTGTCCAATCATCAAACACCTTCCCCTATCATCTTTCCTTCGATTCGTTCAATGCCTATTGACCCACAAATGACTAGTTCTCCAACCAATAGCATTGCGTCGCTGATGCTCGCACATGCGCTTCGACTTGACACTACAGCTACAGTATTTGACACTCTAACTCGAAAGCGCTTTGGGTTGACAGGCTCTTGTTGACATGTTATCCCTACGGACACGAACTCAGTAGCGTTGCAATTCGGTTCCCTAGACCCCTATTGCGATGCAGCTGACTTGGAGACGATCAAAGGTCCCTGTCTGGGCCAATCAGTGCACCTGATTGGGACGCGTCCAATCAGTGCACCTGATTGGGTAAGGCGAACTATGACAGAACCGGAATGGGCGGAAAGGGTTGTAGTCGTTGAGGTGCAGTACGTTTATAGACGATTAATCGTGGTTCTGTAAGCATTCAGCTTTTGAGAGTAGAAACAGTAATCCCGTTGAGGTAACCTTATAAACATGACTGTTATGAGTTGTCAAACAGAGTTGCGCGGAATAACGAATAACGAGGCTGTGACTCAATGAAACTGACGATACAATGAAAGACATGCGATTATATAGCGAGGCAACCTAACTAGGCGGGAACCTCGGGAACACGAGGTTGAGTGCAGGTTGGGCAAAGGAAAGCCGAAGGCGACGCGAGGTTGCTTCGGCAGCAAGCAAAGCGGCCGAACGTGCACTTCCGAAAGTTGGGGTTGTACGCGGTTGAGTAAACCCCAGTAAGGAAAAGGGGTTTTTCCTTACACTACCCCCCCCCCCCCCCCCCCCCCCCCCTTAAGAAAGGTGGTCAACATCCACAGCTCGCTTGCGGGCGAGGTAATCACCGAAAAGCGTGGAAGCTTCAAGCGAGACGGATGGCACCCATGTGTCGTCCTCACTGGTGCGGTCAGTCCAACGGATAAGAAAGTCCACGTGGCGTCCCTGTCGGGACGGCGTTCTGGCGCGCGATGTCTGTCGTGGCAGGCACGAACTTGCGTAATAAGCTGACGTGGAAGGCGTCGTGAATACGCCAGTCGTCGGGTAGTAGCAGCTTCGCGGTGACAGGTGTCACCATCTTGATGATCTTGAAAGGCCCACAGAATCGTAGTCTTAACTTCGACGGGCCGGGCAGGTGCAAGTTCTTCGTGTCCAGTAGCACTAGTTGCCCAGCTGCCAAGACGAGTTCCCGTCGTAAAAGGTCGGTGTATTTGCGGGAAGTGGTATTCGCCTTGCGAATTGCGTCCGCAGCCTTCTCGCGAATTTCTTGGAGTTCCGTCATAAATGTTTGTGACCTCGGGACCGGGTTGTCAAGTGTAGTCGTTGTAGGAACCACCAGGTCCATCCCGTAATTCAAGAAGAACGGGGAGTGATTAGTCGTGCTGGACGGAGCGTTGTTGAACGCGAATTCCAACATGGCAAGAGAATCTTCCCAGCGTGCAGGGTCGGGGCTGTCAAATGATATATATGTGTGATATATATTGGTAGGCTGTAGTGGGGTAGATGTTATAGGGGATAACACTTTAGGGTTGTGTTTCTTGTACCAAACTCTCTCGTCAATCGAACCACCTTGCCTAGCTATCTCGACATGGCATCTAGAGCAGGTTCTTAGGACCTAAGTTTAAGGGCCCACCAGTTACTAAGTTACCTCACCAACGGCCTGCCTACCTGCCTTGCCTGTTTGTCTGCCTAGCCTGCTGCCCACACGCGCCTCGGCTGCGCGCGCACGCCTTTTTTTTTTAGCGCGCACTGCTGCTGCCAGCCGCGTCGCGCCCCGTCCGTCGCCCGCGCAGCCCGCCCTGAGCCCGCACAGCTCGCGCGCGGCCCGTCCTTGCCTCGCGCAGCCCGCTAAGGCCCCGCGCAGCCCGTCTGCAGCCCGCGCGTCGCATCTGTTGCTCGCGCGCAGCCCCTTTCCGCCCCGCGCGTCGCGTTTGCTGCCTGCGCGGCCCACTCCAGAGCTGCGCGCTGCACCTACCGTCCGCGCGCAGCCCGCCTAGGCCCTGCACGTCGCGTTCGCCGCTCGTACAGCGCATTGCTGCCCCGTGCATTGCGTCCGCCTGTACCTGCCGCCAGGGTTTAGGGTTTACCCTGTCTTTTTCTTGCCTGCCTTGCGTCTCTACCGTCTGCCTTGCGCACCTGCCTGCTACCTTTGCCTGCTGCCTGAGCCTGCTGCCTGAGCCTGCTGCCTGAGCCTGCTACTTTTGCCTGCGCTGCAACCATGGCGACCCTTACTGTTCTCGCCTTTGAGCCTGACGGCCGCCCCATCGAGTTTGACACCTGGCTTAGTGATCTGCGGCTTTACCTTATGACTGACGTCGCAGACGGAGTATCACTACTAGCCTATGTCACTGGCACTGTCCCTACTCCCGCTGAGACTGCTCCTGCCCCTGAACGAGCACAGTGGGAGCTCCGCGACGCAGTCGCGCGCCTTGTTATTCGCAATCACCTACCGATCTCTGCTCTATAGCGAGTACAACCCTTCTAGGGTTAGCTATTTGTACCACCATTGTTGCTAGTGCAAACCTCTCCTTTGCTTCATTCTCTCTTGCCTAGCTAGGTCAACCCTAGCTATGGCTCCTCATCGTGCTCACTCTCTCGACATGCTATCAGAGCAGGACGATCCAGTTGGGTCGATCCTGTGGGTGGGCCCCACCACCTCAGTCTTCCGCTGCTCCTACTACTGTTTGTGTCGCACGCCCCGTGGCGTGCGACGGATTTTTCATCCCGCCGCGCGCTCGGGGCGTGCGGCGGTTCTTTCTACCCGCCGTGCGCCCCGGACGCGCGGCGGTTTCCTGTCCGCCGTGCGCCCCGAGGCGCGCGGCGGTTTCCTACCGTGGGGGACCCCCGCGCGCCCCCGATTTCCCGTCGCCCGCGGCCCCCCCGTTCCCGTCGCCCGCGGCCCCCCCGTTCCCGTCGCCCGCGGCCCCCCGTTCCCGTCGCCCGCGGCCCCCCGTTCCCGTCACTCGCGGCCCCCCGTTCCCGTCGCCCGCGGCCCCCCGTTCCCGTCGCCCGCGGCCCCCCGTTCCCGTCGCCCGCGGCCCCCGATTTCCCGTCGCGCCGCCCTGGGGAGCCGCGCGCGACCCCCCGCTGCCCCTTCGCGGCGCCCTAAGGAGCCGCGCGCGGCCCCTCGCTGCCCCGTGGTGGCGTCCTGGGGGTCGCGCACCGTCCCCCTCGCCGTCCCCCGCGCTCCTTCCCCCGTTCCGCCCGTTTTAGGGTTTGGGGGTGAGGAGTGTGGGGGTGGCGGCTATGGGGGTGTCGGTTGTGAGTTACTCCCCCTGCTCCTCCTCCTCCCTCGTCTCCCTCTGCTACAGCTGCCGCTGAGGGGGGTGGTGTGTGGGAGCCTAGGGTTTGGGGTTTAAGGGGGGTACCGTGGGAGTGGAGCTAGGGTTTGAAGCAGGGGGTGTGTGTCGAGGGGTGTGGGACTGTTGGGGGAGGTTGAGCGGAGGTTGCCGTCGTGTCGTACGCAGCGCCTGTACTCCGGGGCACTCATTCCCGGTAGCTCAGAGAGCCGGTTGCGCCGTCGCCTGTGGGTCCGTTGCTCCTGCCGCGCGTATTAGCCGCGGAGCCTGTTACTCCTGTACTCCGGGGCACTCATTCCCGGTAGCCACTGTGTTGCACCAGAGCCGTCTGTTGCCCGTGTGTCTGCAGCTTCAGTCGTCGCCTCCTAATCTACTCTCCTCTCGCCAGCCCTCCTCCTCCTCACTTGCCCTCTGTGACTGCCTCTAGCTTTGCTCATAATTGTGAACTTGAAACTATTGCTTCTTGAACTTGTGCTCAGAATGTGTGGTGACATCGTGATCCACCCTGAGCTTGTACTGCTTTGCTTGCTCTGCTGATTACACCCCACTTTGGCTATGGGGGTGTGTCAGAATATTATGCTCTAGCCTGTAGTGGGGTGCTCTATAGCGAGTACAACCCTTCTAGGGTTAGCTATTTGTACCACCATTGTTGCTA